CTTACTGTACATGTACTTGTGCCTTTAGTGCCCGATTAAGTGTATTATCACTAGCCTACAAATAATCTGTGTAGTTTACTCAAATAATACTTGCTTTCTATTTATTCAGCAGATCAGCCTGGTATGGGATGTTGGTGACAGAAAGTCCTCTCAAAGCAAACAGGATTAATACATGTTAATTACAAGCCTTAGTCTTGTAAAGTGGTTCCAGGGCTGTCACTAAGGGCTATAAACCAGACTTTAAATTGGCTACTTTGAGCCCAATATTTGGCTGTTTTGAGAGGAAACGAAACTTTCCACATTTTCAATGTCCCGCTCACTAATTTCACTTACCCTGCAACTTGCAATCTTAGTGACAGCCTTGTGCATCTAACTTTTACATCATCAGTTTATGAAAATGATTTTTTATTTGGATTTTGTTGTTAAGTTTGACTGTAAACACTTCTGGGAGTGAAAGGGCTAAATCGAGAAACCATCAATGTTATACATGTATTAGGCTTTCAGTCCTTTTATTTTTTATCTAAAATTGTTTAAGCTTTTAATTTGAATTATGCTAAATTATACTAAATAATTTTCATTTTGGAAGAGACCATTTTGACCCACCTTTACATTAATTTGTGTGTTTGAGTTGCTGTTTTTTATCAAAATTTAAGTTCATCAGTTTTCTTGTACACCCTGTACCTTACATGTAAATGCTAATAATTATTTTAAACTATAAATCATCTTAATTTGGTATAATACTAAGTTAAGATGATTTTTTTGGATATTTTGAGAAGACTGTTTTGACCCATTTGAAAAGTTTATGTTCACTGTATCTTCTTATTTAAACCTTAGGTGTTGGAAAAATTTTCGTTTTTTTAATTTTTAATGTAATGACAAAGATGCTAACACAGAAATAAATCATGTTATATTTAGAAAATTCAGTTTTACAATATCAGTATGTTTTGTTTTTTAACACCTTGTAAGATCACTCTTTACGGGACTAAACTTAAAGAATGCGATTTGTATTTCAGCTTTTGCAGTTACAACAATGTAGCATACCTGGCGATTTTCATGGGATTTGAAATGTAAAAATAAAGATAGGCAATTTGAAAATTGGTTATGGTAATGCAAAATTGGAAACGGAAAGGGGCCCTATTTTTTAAACTACTACTCCTTTGCGTGTCCGCTTAACGCGTAAAAGGATTGTCTAAATAAGATCTTTACACCAACTTTACGCTTCAATTACGCTGGTTTAAGTCTCTACTTTAAAGCGTATTTACACCAACTTTACGTTAGCTTAAATCTCTTCTTTACGGCGTATTTACACCAACTTTACGCAGGGCTTAAACAGTCTCTTTACGATACCTTAACGCATACGCGTAAAGGTAAGGTAAAGTTCGGCTTTACGTGGCTGAAATGTGTCGTAAAGTTACGTAAATGAGAGGTTTACGCTAACTTTACGCCACCATTACGCTAACTTAAATTTGCCTTTTCGTGCTGTGTATATACTCAGAGCGAATTTGGAGATAGCATCATTTTCCGTCACACGTGATCATTTGCTTTATAATTTGAAATGATTTTAAAAAATAAAAATTGAACGAATAACCGAAAAGAACTAACGCTTTTAAGGGGTATTTAAATCTACTTTAATTTTGATTTGAAATCTTAATCAGGAATCGACTTTTCTTTGACTAATTCTCTGTTTCATCTAACTAACTCGAATCTTTACGTGCTCGAATAATTTTAACTACCGGAATTTCCTTATTTTTAAAATCGTCTTTGACAATCTAAACATGAATATACAACACATATTTAATTCCATGCACAATCTGTCAACTTATTCGGACCTGACACACTTCGTTTTAATTATTTTATTTTGTGTTCAGTCGTATTTAATTTGTCAACAGAGCATACTATAAATGGGATATTAACTTTTTAATGCTATGGCATAAATTCCGGTTTACTAAGATTCATCTTAAAACGGAAATGACAAGCGAGTTAAAGAACTGAGATTAAATAAATACATTTCTCAATCGACAAGAAACACGTTTCACCTTGGCTTTGAGTGGAGAAATTTTGAGACCCGACCATTTTTTTCGTTTGAACGAAATGGGCAAATTTGTCTGAGCACGCATAAAAACGTTTCCCTGTAGGCTTTGGATGGGTAATTTATTTGCCCAATTTTTCGACTAGACAAAACTAGCCTTCATCAGGCACTTTTCTAGCCCCTGTTTTGTCAGTGTTCCCTATTTTTCTCTCTCCCTCTCTTTAATATTTTTGTTTTTTTAGAAAAGCCGCGGAATTCATTTCTGTCATTTTTGGATGACATGGCACGTATATCTTGTTTTGCAAGATCAAGGTACCCAGATCATTGCCTAATTAATCAAAGATTGCGGACTTCTCGGTAAACAAACTTCCGTTCGCAAAATGACTTATCGTAAGTGAAGTAAACATAGAGTGATTTTACTTGAACCGTGAAACAGATACTAACAAATAATGCGAAATAGCAAAAGGTCGAAAAAGGTAAAGGGCAAAAGAGAACAATGGAATAGGTGAATAATAGTGCGTAGTATTCTACCTCACCCAAAAGCCACGAGTCACTCTCTCGGTCAGGGACCTTACAATGCGACAACAATAGGAATTAAACTCAGAAAAAAAGTCTATTGCTGATGATATTTGCGTCGTTAACACATTTCCCACAAATGATGGAGGTCGAGGTGACAAGTGTCAGATTTCAATTTCAGTTTCTTTTTCTGTAGCAAGAGAGGCTAAAATTTCCTTTCCAGCTTGAATTCCTTTCTATGCTAAATTTCTGTTTGGTCAACATTTTTAATTATCCAAAGCTCCAGATACCTTCAAATCCCTTTGGTTCGAGAGAACTAGTAGGCTCAGTCTCAGTCGTGGGTGTCTCCCATCTAGGCACCCATAGCTAGAATGGGAGGGACAGTCCATTTCTCCTCCTCCGAGGTTGCCGCTGGGTATGATCCCGATTAAAGTACTGAGCAATAATCGAAAAATAACAAGCGCGCAGGGGGCGATGGGAGGAGGGGAAAGACGGGCGCTTCGTCTCTTTTCCCTTCCCATCGTCCCCCTGCGCACTTTCTTTAGTCCCTCTCCCCAACCTCCCTACGACACAAGGAGGCATCTGTGGAGGAGAGAGGGGCAGTCCGCCTTCAGTCAACTGAAACCCTTCTAAAAGTGAACTTATGAGGAGATATGTCATTGCCTCTATGTACCAGCAGCAAAGCAATTTTAAAAGGAAGCATAAGACTGCCATGGTGATGACGATCATTCATCTACTGCACAAGCGAGCTCACACATGGAGTATTCCCTAATAGCTAACTGCGAGCAGTAGTTGCTCCACGCGAGCCGCGATAAACGTTGTCCTAATCCCCTGTAGTGACGTCGTTATTTGCAGTCGCGGGATAAGAACTAAGCTGAAATAAGAGAGCTAACACATGTTCAACTGTCTTTTTCAAGCATGGGGAAGAATGTGGTACGTACCATCTACATAAAGCGACATTTCCTGACCCTTGAAAGGTCTTCAGGCTGCAAGCAATGATGCAAGGGAAGCTTAACTCCAGTGCCTTTTTCTCGATTTACCAGTCAAAATCGTCGAAAGAATATTGACCGCTACCGCTACCGCACACAAACAGCGTCGCGAGTCGCGACAACTCCAGGACACATGTTGCCACACTTCCTAAGCAACCAGCCCATAAAAAAGTATAGAAATGTTGAAAACGCGTTTTTTTCTTCTTTTTTTTCTCAATAAAGGCAAAAAGAAAAATGACAAGAGCAGCTTGGAAGTGTAAGGAATGCTTCCTTCCTCCTTTTGTTCCAACCACGCGGCTCACCCTGTTCCCCTTCTTCCCCTCTTTCCCCTGTTCATCTTGTCCCCTTGTTGCCCTCTTCCCGTTGTTCACCCTGTTCACCTTGTTCCCCCTTGATCTCCTTGTTTCCTCTTTTGTCCCTTGTTCCCCTTGTTACTCTCGTTACCCCTTGTTTTCCCTCGTTTTTCCTGTTCCCCTTGTTCCCCCTGTTCCCTTTGTTCCCCCTTTTCCCCTTGTTTCCCTTGTTCCCACTGTTACCCTTGTTGCCCCTTGTTCACCCTCTTCCCCTTGTTCCTCCTTGATCTCCTTGGTCCCCCTTTTCCCTCTTGTTCCCCTTGTTACCTCTGTTTTCCGTTCCTTCCTGTTCCCCTTGTTCCCTTTAGTCCTCCCGTTTTTCTAGTTCCCCTTGTTCTCCTTTTCACCTTGTTCCTATTTGTTGCCCTGTTGCCCTGAACTTGGTTGGGAATTCCCTGATTGGGACTTGTCTCACTTTGCCAAATTTGGGATTTTTTGGGGTATTCTTTAAATACCCTAAAATATCCAAAAATGGGAATCCGTTATTTTTTCCCGTGATAACTCTGCTGTAACTTCTTTCAAATGCCTTTTGAAAAAAAAACCCGGTGTTTTTCCTAGATTTTGCCGCATTGTTTTAAAATCTCGGAAGTCGTAAATAATAGTACTTTTATCTGGGCATCAATTAAAACGAGACTCGGAGAAAGTTCACTGAATTAAATGTATGAATAACAACCTTCCCAGTAATTGGCCATTTCCGAGTTCCAAAAGCTCTCAACTTCAAAACGAGCCATAGTGCAAAATCTTTCTTCTGAAAATGATTTTATTTGCTTGAGAATAAAAATCATTTTCACATCAATGACTTCACGCGAGCAGCGAGAAACTACGGCGTAAGACTGGGAGGAAGAAAAAAAAGTGTTTTTGTCTATACGCGCTCATCGTCTTGGTACTCAACGAATCTAAGTGAAATGGTGGACTGCAAGCAGTCTAAGCTAATTTTGAAAACTGTGCGTACCTACAGAAAATCTGTAGTTACAATCCTCGTAACATGGCCTTTGCCTTTAGTCAGCGCCTGACGCAGGAGAACTGGGGATGATGCTAAAGCTCCCAGGCGTTCCCTTGGCGTTCCCAAGCGTTCTTTTTGCGCGCAATGTTTGCCGGGTCCTCAAATCCAAGATGGCGTACAAAGATGAGATAGATGATGCTTTTGATGCGGCAGTTTTCCTGGAAGAAAGGTACCTTTTTACTCTCTTGATACAATAATTTTGGAATTTTCTTAATCCATTAAAATTTTATCTTTCAGATTTTACGAAAAAGGCTACCAAGAAGGCTTTCACGATGGAAAAATCAAAGGTCTTCAAGATGGAAGACAGCTGGGTTTATTGAAAGGGTGTGAAATTGGCGGCGAGGTTTGTGCTCGGAGTCATAATAAATCAGCTGATAGTCGTGAAATTCTATAACAAAGAGAATACTCGTTTAGGATTCTGTGCTTTCACTGTCACGCCGTTAAAAATAAAAATGCGAACCAGTCGATGCAGAAAGCCCAGAATTAGGGAAATGAAAGAAGATGAATATTCAAAAAGCTTCGCCAAGCATCAGGTCTGTACGATAATTCATAGGCTTTGTATGAAGACGCCATGTTGGTGTCTCTTTGAGCTTCTTTGAGGGGCACAAATATGGCCGCCGCAAACCAACAGAAACATCTGTTTTTGAGTTTTACTTATGCGTGAATTACCCGGGGGGGGAGTATACTCCCTTATAAGGGCTTAATGGGGACGTGCGGCCATCCAGGGTATGTTTTTCGGGATTTTTGTCTTAAACAGGTTCTCAATTTATCATTTTTTGTCTTAATCAGGGTATCGATTTTATAAATTTTTGTCTTAAATAGGATATCTTTTCTTGGACGATAAACAGCCTGCGCGTATGTCCTACGAACTAAACTACAGCAAAATTTTTATTTATTACAGTGAAACCTGTATTAAGCAGACACTCTCTGGGAATGCTGTAGTGTCTGCTCAATACAGGGTGTCCGCCTAATATGGGTTTCGAGCGACAACGTCATATGAGGTGTCAAATGCCATTCAAATGAACAGTGGAAACGTTTAGAATGCTCCCAGAGGCTAGGACGATATATGTTTGCATTAATTTCTTTATTAAAGTGGACCAATTGCTCACAGTACCATAAACATAGATTTCAATTCAAATTTGAAGAAATAAAATGAGTGAAACAAGCTCTACACAAACAAAACAAAATGGAAAACAATACTGTACTGTGAAACTAATCAAATAAGTTCATCAAGTCACGTTTTTGAATGTAAAAATCGAAAAAGTTGTAGGTGGCAATTCGAGGCAATCTTTCGCATTTCCAGTGACTAGCATGTTAGGTGGTGGAATTTAATTACAAGTGTCTGTTTAATACAGGTTGGCAACAATAGAAATGACCATGTCAGGTACTTTCTAGGTGTCCGCGTGCGCTTAATAGAGGTGTGCGCTTAATAAAGGTTTCGTTTAAAGTAAATAAGGAAAATAAATTTTGGGACTTCGGTTACTGTCCGCTTAATAGAGGGTGTCCACTTAATACGGTGTCTGCTTAATACAGGTTTCACTGTATTGTCTTACACAGGGTATGGTTTCGGGTTAAATGTCTTAAACAGGGTAGGAAAATCAGTGATTTTTTGTCTTAAACAGGATCAGGGTATGAGGGCCCAGTCCACACCTTCCCACCCAAGGATATATTGAGTACCCCCCCACCCCGGGTGAATTCATCGCTTGCGGAACTCATAAAGATTAAAGTAATATTTATTCTAACACAAGGAATGTTTAGCTAGCAAAATCTCAGAAAATCAGAAACGTTTTTAACCCACGTAAGAGCTTTCCGGGCCACCAGCTAAATGCCACATCACGCAAAAGCCTGGAATTCAAGCGCCTTCTATCGCAAAATGAAGAACCCTTTGGAACTGAAAATTTGTGCAATAAAGGTTTTTAGGTGCTGTAATACGTCATGAAAGTAGAAACTCGGAAGAACCGATTGTTTCTTAGTTTGAATTTCGGTGACTTCACGTGAAAACTTCTAACAGATACGCCAAGGTAAATCTAAGAAGATGGTTGAAGCTGGTAGTGTGAAAGTTGACAAACAGCAGTTCTTTCTGGGACGTTCTAAATAGGAAACCAGTCATTTTGATACAAACTCGAGCACTTCAAGTATAGTTTGTGAGTGAACAAGAAAAACATTTTGGGTGAATATCTTTGTTCTTTAAGCCAAGTACGTGGAACTATTTACATCTCTAATGAATAAACTTGTATTGAAATGACTTGTATTGAAACAACTTTGTATCGAAACAACCAGTAAGTCCAGTAACCTCGAAACACATTGACCCTGCTAGGCATGAACCCAAACCTCTTGATCCAGAGTCAGTACACTGACCATTGCATCACCTTACCTCCCACTTAAGTTGCTTCTTTGTGTTAAATACAGTATTTAATGTGTTGCTTAAATATGTTGCAGGTTGGGTTTTATCTTGGGTTTGTTTCGTTGTGGCTTGAAATTCAGCTGGAAAGTCCTGATGCAAAGCCAAGGTACTGCTTTCAGTACAATACAATACAATACCCTTTATTTAACATGGTCAGTGTTCTTAGCTAATTAGCTACTTTATAGACATGCCACGAAAAATAAATAAATAAACTAGAAATAATAATAGAAAGAGAAGATTTCTCATAAAAACCTATATAAAAATATGTATATATATATACAGTTAAAAATTATTCAAACTAAGAGTAGGTGACGAGATTATTACGTTTAACAATAATTAGTTCATGCGTCAGCATGCGTATGTTGAGATATTGAGCACGTGGGAAGTTTGGAGAGCATGAAAGAGGCGTAAGAGTTGCACGAGGCACAGCCGAGTGCAACTCTAGCCTCTTGAGTGCTCTCCAAACTTCCCAAGTGCTTAATATCTCAACATACGCACAGCTGCAGCATGAACTAATAGTTTTATAACATTATCAAAGTGATCAATGCAGCAGTTAATTTAAAACTTTATTATTGTAGGGCACGCTCAAAGCAGTGCGGTCAATGTTTACGTGACTATGTTTTTTTTCCTCACAGTTAAGCTTATGTTTTTATCCTGAAACTGAGAGAAAGTCTACTCTAAGATTATTGTAAAATCCATATTTAGGTGCCGGAAAGCTATTAATTGACCGAAAAATTGTTATTGAGGGAAAAAGAATTTGCAAAGAATGAGCTCACGCCATAGTCCGCACAGCTCGCGGAGATGACAACAACAACAACAACACTCACCTCTTTCCTTACTATCGGTTAGCAAATTCAAACGTTTCCTCTTAGATTTCCTTATAAAACACATGGTAAACGCTTCATTGTGTACTGCTGAGTTATGGTTGCACTCAGGAGACTCAGGATTGCTAAGCTCACATTAACAACTTGAGGAATTACGTTGAGTTTATGAATGTTATCAGCGTGCTCAATAGGAATATGAAGCCCGCTCCCGCTATTGAATTTGATAAGGCGAATTTTCTAGCTCTGTTATAAAATGATGCTAAAACTAAGCAAAATGTATTTACATGTATTTGCGCGATTAAAATGTAAAATTTGAGAAATCCAACTTAGACATTAAGTTCTTAAATGTTCTGATTTTATTAGTGGCGCAAAACTGATCCGGAAGAGCGTTCCAAATCTTAGCTGCAGTATAATGCCACGATTTAAGTCCATAGGTGGTTGTATTTACTTTGGGTAGCTCGAGGATGTGTTTTCCTCTAAGATTATAATTCGTTGATCGTTCATGCAATAGCTCTCCTTTTCCTGTAGGGACTTTATCTCCGTGGATAGCTTTGTAAACACCGGTGGCCATTTTAACAATTCTTTGATTAAGTGGGGACAGCAGGTTTAGTTTTTAGCAACGTCTCGTACGTGGTTGACTTGTCACAGGTCACAAAGCGAAGGGCTTGTTCATTGATTTTTTCAAGTTTGGCACAACCTCTTTTACCACAGTGATGCCATGACTCTGAGCAGTAATTGAAATGCGGTGCAGTGAAAGCACGATATATATCTATCCTCAATTCAAATGGCAATATTTTCTTCGAACAATTGAGAACAGCAACCTGTTTACTAACTTTACGACAGATTTTACGAATCAGTGGTAATTGACCAGTGGATATAGTGAAGTTCCTCTGTATTTTGAATTCGCACCCAAAAAAACTTCTCTTCCTGGTCAGGCAAGAATCTGGCACGTTTGAGAATGCCATTATATCTATATTTTTACAAATATATTTTTATGTCCTGTTGTCTGATTTTGGAGAGACTGTCATCAATGTATACCATTGAGACTTGATTGCTGTTTTCCCTCAGGTGTGTCAAATTGTTAGAGACCGTTAAGGAGATGCTTCTGAGCTTTCCTATCAATGATCCCACAAATGAAGAGATGTTTGCTAAGCTTGAGAAAATTCGGGCCAAGTTTAGACAGGTAACATATGTACATTGTACTGTCAAGTCTTGTCTTTCCTCAAATAAATGTATACATATGCATGTGGACACGGGAAAAAATAACACATTCCCATTATTGGATATTTTAGGGTATTTAAAGAATAGCCATAAAAATCCCAAATTTGGCAAAGTGAGACAAGTCCCAACAAGGGAATTCCCAACCAAGTTCCCTAGTTGGGACTTGTTTCACTCTTCCAAATTTGGGATTTTTGTGGGTCTTCTTTAAATACCCTAAAATATCCAAAAATGTCAACCTGTCTTTTTTTGCTGTGGTGGATAGGATGGTATTTCAAAGAAACAATTCTCTTTGGTAACATCACACGGTCTGAAATGGGAAAGCAAAACTAAGACGCTTGTAAGAGACTGCAATAAGCTGTTACAAGAGAAATACACACACTTTAATGATTACCAAGTAACTTATTTAACTGCCCAAATATCGAGCCATGGGTGCTGAAATATAAGACACGCTGTGCAATGCTAATGTAACTAACAAACACTCCTACTTACCTGGTTTGACACTCGTCACAAAAACATACAAGCTAAAAAGTTATTGAACAAGCCATGAAGTTGAGATTTTAAAATAGACTTCTGCTTGGGGGCTTTTGCAAACATAAAACCAAATACAAATTTTAATTGAACACTCCTGCCTGTTTTACTGAACAGTACAAAAAAAATGAATAGAATTACAGATTTCATTGCATTTTTATTGTGAAGTATTTTGTAGCAGCTAGCTTTGATTTAATAAGAAATATATCAGTAAGTTTATTGTCATTGACTAATATTGGTGAAATTTCTATTGCATCAGGTATGCTCATTGCTTGGAGTAAGTGTTGAGTATCATGGTGGTGGAAATGTGTCAGGAATGTCTTTTTGAAAACACCACAGTTATCAGGAAAGAGGAGTACCTCGTTCAGCCTGGAAACTGCTGAAGCTTCCTAATCCAATTGAGATCCTTGTAAGGTAATCATCATTAAGTAGATGATATATAGCCTGAAGTGCAGGTGGTTTCTTCAAGCATGTGGATGTTTTTTCTTGTGAAAGTGCCATGTTGAAACCCTAAGAGTTGCTATTTCTACTCTCCCCAGTCTTTCTGTCATAAAATCAAAGATGGTGGCCTGTCCAAAATACGCCTGCACTGCAGGTTATGTAGAGAAAAAAGAAATGGCCAATAGAATACTAGGTCACTGAATATATTTCTGTGTGTAATTGTCTCTCAATTTCATGATACTAAGCTAGACTTTCTTTCATGTGACAGACTGACCATGACCAGACAGGAAGAAAAGGAGAACCGCCAGCGAAAAGAGCAAGAGAAAGATCTACCTCCACGCCCACCCCCACCAACATCTTATGCCCCATATTCATTAATCCATTCCAGTCACATTCCACTCAGTCAACTATCACAATCCAAAATTCAGCTTTATGCCATCTGCATGCCATATACACACATTCACCCGTGCGACCTTCCCCTCTACCACAACATCATCATACACACAACCACCCTTGTCACAACTTCCACACTTCATATCCCACATCCCACATGTGTCATATCTAACATAATCACCCCTACCACAAATCATAATTACATCATGAGCATTCAGTTTCACATCCCAGACTCTGGATATATTAACTATCATTCCCTCACTAAACTCGTACACATTCCACTCTCAGCACCACCACGTCCATCCACAAAATCCAGTAGCAACCACACCACACCACAACACACAGGATGAAGAGTCGCATACCTTGTAAATATGATAAATATTGTGAATGTAAGAGCAAACCTCTAAATACAACTGTTATAATTAAATTTAACATAATTTATTTTCAAAAAAGTTTTTCAATATGTATTTTGAGCTTAAAAAGTTGGTTATGTTTTAATGGCGACGTAAATATCTCAACTTAATAAGTTCTGTCAGGGATCAGGTTCCTGGGGAGTACCCCACAGAAGCACCTACAGCTGTAAGCTACATGCAAATGGACGCAACAACTTCCAACAATGTTGGTCCATCATGTGTGTTGGTCTATCACGCAAAGTTATTGCTTTCCTGTCTCCAAGGAGACCATGTGTAATGCATGTGCGTAGCCCCAACAATGTTGGAAGAGCTGTGCAAACAGATCCAACATTGTTGCGATATGTCTCGGTGATCACAGAGCAAAAGAAATGTTGGGAGTTTTTGACTCAAAAGTTTGACTGGTTTCAAACTTTGCACCAATAACACACAACAACAGGCAACAGGGTGTACAAACTGACGCAACACATAACATCCAACTATGTTGGGAGTTGTTGGCCAATAAAGTTGCGTCCGTTTGCAAGGGGCTTAAGTATATAGACGTACGTATACACGTCATCATGTGAAATATTACATTGAAATTGTTAGAGTTTTTCAGGAGTCTGTGTTTTCTTGTCTTTTTTCAGTAAGATGCAAATGTTAAGAAGGGTTTGTCAATAATAATCGGTTCAACATAGAAGGATTTTTAAGAGTAAAAGAAAAATCCCAATAGTATTGATCGTTATACTGAAAATCTTAACCTATATTTTCTTTTTCTTCGAATTTGGCATAAGACGAAACTATCATCATTCTAATATTATTTCTAGTTAACGTTTTGCTGAAAAGCACAAAACCGATCAATACAAGCTAACTTACACAAATCTGTGTCATGTGAACAAGCTACAAGCTGCAAACCATCACAGAAAGAATTTAACCTGACCTGTTGCATCGACAAAAATTATTTTCCTCAATGCACGAAGTAACACTTTACCTAGTGACGCTAGTCATTAGCCTGCTATATGAAATGAAGGTGAAGCATCATTTGTTGCGACAGATAAATAAGCTTCACCTTGTGCAATCGAAATTTTTTTCTTTGATGCAAGAAATCACTCTTTATTTTCTACAACAAGACAGGTTACATTTCATGCTTTCTGCTTTTTGGCCTGAAGGGATTATTTGAGGTGGGTTATAATAATTTTATTTGGCCTCATTTGAACCTCCCTGTCATTATTCTACCAAAATACTAGCCAGTTCACACACTCTTTATTTTCTCTTTAGAGATTGTCATGTGTGCAATGAAAATAAAAACTGAGCAGGAATTTTTGACAAACAAGCGTAAGGAGGTGGGAAAGAAAAAGAAAAATTCCTGTAAACAGGCTACTGAAGTACCCCCTGGAGAAGGGGAAGGAAGGCCTTTTCCTCTTTGTCGTCTTATAAACAGGGTGACGTACACAAGAGCATTAAGTCCCTGAACTGAGGCAGCTGTACGTAGGCTGCCAACAAACAAGATCCTAAGGTGTCCTCAATGGAGCAGTGTGTTAAAATAATTGTATCAAAATTCAAACAGAGGGAACCACCACCAAACTGCCCAAAACGTATAAATAACAGCAAATACAAAAGGAGCCACAGACAGACCAACTTGAAGGAGATCAAACCAATTTCAATTGTGGTTTTTGAAAACTTGTTAGCCTAAATTTTTTTAATGTTTGATGTAATGCTTGTTGGAAACAAAACTGTGATTTAGTCCCTGGCAAGTAATTTCACAAGTCTATGGTGCATAAAAATATGAAGAAGCTATGACGCAGCCGCTTTGATAAAAACACTATTTAAAGAGTTTACAAAAAATGGTAATTGCAAATTATCAATTTTTAAAAAATATTATTTCTTCTTTTCTTTTGCCTTTCTAAGGTCAATGTCTCTAAACAGAAGTGGAGGAGATGCAGGCTGCAATTCTTTTTTGCCCTTTCTCCTCTCACAGTTTGTTTTCACTTTTGGTGGAACCCATGGAATTGGATTACAATAACTTGGAGCAGGATATGAGCCCCACTCATAATACCCTGTCAACATTCCTCCCGTATAACCAAAGCTGTTGTAAACTGGTTTAGATCTCTCTTTAACCTGTGCCGTCCAATTGATGTACGCTTCCTCACTATGCAGTTTTCTCTCCACTTCCCTTTCTTTCTTTTCTCTTGCATTTATCTCTTCCTTTCTCTTCTTTTCTCTCTCTTGAACTTTCTTATCGTCCAGCCAATTATTGTATTTCACAGCTGCTTTCTCCAAAATAAAGCGTCTTGAATTTTCTTTCTGGTCTTGTTCAAGTTGTTCCTTTAGCTTTTGAGTCCTTCTTTCCTCTGCTATTACCATCTTTTTTCTTTCAAGCCATTCCTCGTATTTCTCGCTCGCCTGTTTCAGAAGTTGTTCCCTTTCCCATTTCTTTCGCTCACTCTCCTCGGTTTCCTTTTTCGTGTCAAGTCGTTTCTGCTTCGCCTTCTCACGATCTTTCGCAGTCTTTTTAATAAGCCAACTTTCCCACGGCGAAAGACAATCACCTTTACTTTCAGCTGTTTTAGAGCTACCAGTTTTGCCACTTTTATGATTTTTTGTATTTGATCTGGAGGCAGAACTGGTCGATTTCCTTGAAGAACTTTTGTGCCTTGAGAAGGAGTTACTAGCAATTGGAGTAGTGTATCCATTTGCTCTTGGCTTATCTGAGGTGTAAGACCTTTCAAAATCGAGACTATAATCTTTCCCGCTATTTCTAGACTGATGAAGGCTTTCCTTGTCTGTTTCATCGCCGCTACTTAGGGAACCCTCAGAGAGCTCGGACAATTCAAATCTGCCGCCATCACCATGAAAAACTGGCGAGAGCAAAGAACGAGTCGAATCACCGAGGGAATCGTCCGAAAATGTGTTTGCAAAAACCCCTTGATCTCTCTGCGGTCTTCCATACATCGTTATTATTTATCTCCAATACACCAATAACCTCTAGCTGTGACTATAACTCGAGAATTTGGCAGTAATACACCACGCGACAACCGTCAACACGGCCATTTTGAAAACAAATGCACAGGCACGAGTTCAAATCCGAGAGAGACTGTAACTAGGGCGAGAGACTGGGTCGAGTTTAATTTGAACTGAAGTATCAAGTACATTGAAGGGAATGGGAAGTCGACAGAATGTTTTGGCCCGGAGTTGATACAAAAATATGGCTATTCCTTTCCTACAATTCCTAATACGGACTGGTTTTGCTGTTTTCTCGTGTCTTATTATCGTACAACACGGACTTAAGAAGAAATCACTGGATGTGACCGGCGCAATTGCCTCTGTAGTAGTAGGGTTTTTGTTGACCTTGAGCAACCTTTGCTTCTTCGCTTCTTGTGCAACGTTCTTCCTCACGAGTTCAAAGCTGACAAGATTCAAATCCAACGTCAAGGAGAAAATAGAAGACGAATTTAAAAAAGGTTGGTATCAGAAGTCTTCCCTTTCGGTTCTTTCAGGTGACAAATGAGTTTTCCGAAACGAACTTGTGATCAAGCCTTCACAATATTATTTATTGTGAAATTGCCACTCATTACTTATTTACGTTTCTTGAAAACTCCTTTCGTCTGTCAAAAATGATAGGTAGATTTTAAAAATAACTGGAAAGACACCGGGAGAAATCTTTTCATCATAATAAGCTTAACTTCTACTGCGAGGTTCGAAAGTTCACGTAGCCTGAGGTGAAAGTACAAACTATTTAAACAGATTGCACAGATTTAATGCGGATTTACGTTAACTTAATCTTATACTGTTTTTTAAAATAAACTTTTTAATTGAATGTTTATGGTTATCATTGTTTTGTTTTGTTTTTTTCTGTTGTCGACGTATCTTCTGATAGCGCATGTCAGTGCTATGGTTAATACTGAGAAAGCTTAATGATATTGTATTAATTTTGGTACCAGCGGAAATGCTTTCAAGTTCTTTAGTAAAGGCCATCTAATCATTACTGATTGGTTTTTCATCAAAATGCTTGAGCTACATGATACAGTCAACTCTTGCCTTGCAGACACCCTGATAATACGTACAGCGGCAAAAACAAATTACAGACGTTTGACTGAACTATACTCTCTTTATTACGGACTCTCAGCAATGATGACACTAACTCAAGGTCCCAACAGTGTCCCCTGTAAAGGGAGTTGACTGCCCAGGAGGGGCACTTGGGTATTTTTTGGGTGGGTATGTGCCACCCGGGGCTCCAAATTGGCACCCTGTTCTAAAAAAATTTCCCCCAAAATTGATACCCCGTTCTAGAATGGGAGTTGACTGTAACAGATTATGGAAATTGTTTAGTGGATTATCATGGGAAAATAAAAAATATATTCATGCAAATGAAAATATTTATGACAGAATGACATAGGTGAAACAGCAAGGAAACTGGCTACTAGGCTAAATGAACACCAGAAATCAATGTAAGCCTGCGATCTCAAGTCTGCTATGTCTGAACACAAGGGTGCAGGCTACTCCATCAACTGGGCCAGTGTAAAAATAATTGGCCGAGAAAACCACCTGCTTTCATGCACGATACACGTGGCCTTAAACATTCATACTAGGCAACCGGCAATGAACCATGATTAGGGCTACCGCCTTCCCCCAATTAATAGGATAATTTTGTAGCCTCATCAAAACGAGGATGCAATTTTATTAACAACCAATGTCACTAATGAGGGGATCAGGATGGGTTCTAAAAGCTCTGCGTAACTTTGATGAATTTGTTGGTGTTGAAGAATATTATTATTTTCGTTGCAAAAATATTTATGTTCCACTGATGGCCCTTTTCTAAAACGCTTCCTGTGTTTTGTAAATCATAGCACTATTCTCCTTGGTTGTTTGTAGGAGTTTGTTTTGTTCTCAAAATGTCTGGTACTAACAAAATTGGTCCTTAGTCAAAGAAAATAAAAGTTAACATAATTTCTCTTAATTGCACACAGGAGGAAATATATGGGATTTTTATATTTTAGAGATTTTTGTTGCCAAGTCCAGGTATGGCATCTTCCTAGAAAAAAAAATCATTTTAAAAATAATTGGCCAAGAAAACCACCTGCTTTCACACAAGATACTTGTGGCCATAAACATTCATACTCAGCAACCGGCAATGAACCATGATTAGGGCTACCGCCTTCCCCCAATTTATAGGATAATTTTGTAGCCTCATCAAAACAAGGATGCAATTTATTAACAACAAATGTCACTGATGAGGGGATCAGGATGAGTTCCGAAAGCTCTGCGTAACTTTCATGAATTTGTTGGTGTTTTGAAGAATATCATTTTCTGTGGAAAAATATTTATGTTCCACTGATGGCCCTTTTCTAATTCTCTTCCTGTGTTTTATAAAACACAGCACTATTCTCCCTGGTTGTTTGTAAGGGTTTTGTTTTGCTTTCAAAATGTCTAGCACTAACAAAATTGGTCCATAGTCAAAAAACATAAAAGTTAACATAATTACTCTTAATTGCACACTGGAGGAAAGTAGGTGGGATTTTTATTTTTTAGAGATTTTTCTTGCCAAGTCCCGGTATGGCATCTTCCCAGAAAAAATAAATCTTCCCGGGTCTTCTCGTCTCATGACCCGGAAATGGACAGACCTCATGGAAAAATGAGGCCTCAGGACTAGGCCAAGATTTCTCCAAATTATAAGATCAGTTGGGTAATCAAATTCTTTCTGATGATTGATTATAAAATTTCAACACTAGTTATTGTAGATGATGTCATCCAGGTTTGGTTTATACCAGGCTGGGCTCTAATCCAAGCATTAATTTTATGGTACTTATAAATACCTTTTGACTGCCTCTTGCAGGAGGTCAGAGAAATTGGATACAAGTTTTCTGCAATGGAGGAGTGCCAACACTGCTGGCCCTGTTTTATATGATTGATGTCGGTATTGGAGAACATGCAATTGACTTTGCAAAGGACTTTACTTCATCTGTGCTTTCTATTGCTGTTCTTGGATCCTTCGCTTGCAGCTGTGGGGATACATGGGCATCAGAAATAGGAACAGCCATAAGTTCTCATGTCCCTGTTCTTATAACAACATTCACTAAAGTCCCTGTAGGAACCAATGGTGGCATCACTATAACTGGAACTGTCGCAAGTGTTCTTGGTGGAACTGTGATTGGAGTTGCTTATTATTTATCATTGGTATCAATATTGGCAGTGCGCAGGATCACAGTGATTACCCCACAATGGCCAGTCATAGTAATGGGTTGTTTAGGAGGCTTTCTTGGATCTGTGTATGACTCATTACTGGGTGCAACTTTGCAGTACTCTGGATATTGTTCAGTAAGGAAACGTGTTGTTAACAAACCTTCCCCTAGCACAAAACACATTTCAGGAAGATCCATCCTTGATAACCATGCTGTCAACCTTGTGTCAAGTCTTCTTACAAGTATCACAATGCCCTTCATCGGCTACTTTTTATGGAAAGCAATTGATGACCAATATTAGGATTGTGTTATGACTGATGCCACAACGAAATCAGTTGATTTGATATCCAAGTGGATACATGGCAGATCAATCTCTGAAGAAAAAAAGAAAACCACTGCAGTGATGAAATATACAACATGTTTTTTTACAATTTGGAAAGTAACTTATTTCCAGTGACAGTTTTGACGCTTTCCGTTTTCCTGCCGTTTCCATGGTGGAAATGAAAAGTTATGGGAGATCGTTGCAAGTTCTCCCTATTTTTTCCCACCCCTTGCACGCGCGTCTCCTTTTGCGTGACTTCTCATGACTCCCCTAAATGCAGAGCTTGCTCGCAGGCTATGTTAGCTGTTTTATCAGGCTACAGTGTACTTAAACTTGGCCATGTCAGTGAAACAGCACTGAAGGCAAACGCACAAAGGGTCTTTACTAAAATCCAAAAATGGATTATTGTTCCAAATGATCCACAACAGAGGTGGATACTTTGGATCCTATCCAAAACCAGATACTTTGGAAACATGATCTAAAGCATTTCTTTACTACAAATACAAAAAAGTGAATACTGCCAGCAGTTACTTGAAACAAATACAATTTAATACATATATCAGCTGTTTGACTACTCTTCTCGTCTTTACGGCCATTTTTGAACCCAAGGCATGGATTAATGGATTGATTTTATCCGTTTTATCAGGGTGGTAAAATCACAATACAAACAAGACCTGCATTATTGTAGTTCACAAGGCTGACGAAACTGCTACACTGAACTTTGCTGGGGCATCTTGCAAGACTTTACTTTTCCAGTACATATCTTATTGCAAGACTCATCTTCATTTGGCCTGTCTGACTCAAACACTATCCTTGAGCTAATCGTCCAGAATACAATGAAAGACCAGCAATCTTGCAACATTTTCAGGAGCAGTTTCTTCTCTTAACAAAAAGTCATAATGATCCAGATTTTTTATGTGATCTTGGATTTTAGTAAAGAACATTACTAACCCTATGAGGTTATGACAAGTCCACAGCTCCAAGTCTTCTGTCTTAAAATTTGACCAGAAATGTGTCAGCACTTTGAAAACATCTCTAATATTCTAAGTCATGTCTATATTACTATCTAAATTTTCCTTTAACCTCAACTCTGAGAGTCAAGAAAAAGTCAGCTTAAAATTTTACCTCATGAATTTTCTGCACTCCAAAAAAATTTATTACAGACAAAACTGAGTGGTTCAATAAAAAAAATATTACTCTATTTTTAAACGAGAAGGACTGGATTATTCATATTTGGTGCTCTGGTATTATTTATACAAAGTTAAATATGGTTGAAGAAGCCATTATGGCTAAACCAAGGTATAAATATATTTTGTTAAACCTGGTGTTGTTTAGAAGTGTGATATCATCTTAAAATCATCATCTTAAAAGAGACATTTTTTTGAGTATTTAATTGCATGTCATATATATTAGTATAGTACACACGCAGTTAGTTATTTAATGTCAAAACTACCTGTGTTGATGTGTTAAATCAAGAAAATAAAACTCTGTTTTTAAGCTTTAAAACTCTTTATTTTTTATCATTTTACTGTTCTAAGGAGTGTAGAGCTTTTATTACAGTCAGGCTTTTACAAGCAGCCACCCTCTATTAAAAAAAACCAGTTGCCAGGGTCCAAAAAAGCCAGTAAACTGAAATAAAATCTCTATTAAACAGCCACCTCTATTATGCTAGCCTCCTACGCAGGTATTTTTTTGGCTCATCACACAATCGTGTCCAACGTAGGGTGCATGGGGAAGGACTGCGTGATGAAGCCCAAAAAACATCTGCAAGGAAGGCTACTATTATGTTCATGTATTGACCACACATGGATCCATCATAAGATTATTTTGCTTTCTGTCCTGTAGAACCGTTTTAGTTAGTGTAATATTGCATGGTGTGTTGTACTGGTGACACAAGCAGACAAATAAAGAAGAGCAGAAAATCTGCATCTGCCAATGCAAGCTTTTGAACGGGATATGTTGCTCTTTAGAGGACATTGTATTTGAACCAGGACAATGCCAAATCATTCATACAGAACATGCATGATGTGTAAAATCTCTTAGGTTGTGAGTTGTAATTTAATTAACTGCTACAGTTTAGTAAAGGTCTCTGTTGATTTTTTGTAACCTTCCTGTTCTTGTCCTAGGGAAGTTTTCACAATATAATACTACAGTTTACTCTTTCTGACGGGGCACCTATCATTGATCCTTGCCTCACTTTCCCCTCTTTATTTGACTCTCTATATGATCGACATCATTCTTAGATGGACACTCGGTGCTGGTCCCATAGAGAGAGTTTACTGTATTACTTTCATTTATACCTGTTATCATGGTAAGCTATTACTTGAATTTTTTTCATCATCTACAATCCATCCTCACAGGAGCCATGACAACATTCAGTGGTTTTGTTCGAAATAGTCATGGTCAGTCCTGGGACTCATCTAATTAATCTGAACACAGACTCCAAAACGCTGTATTAATTTTTACTGAAATAAAAATATTCTCCTTGTATTACAAATCACAACAAAGACTAAAAGAAATAAGTGTCGTTTAACAACAGCCACAAGAACAGCCATAGGAATCACACAAACAGGATATACCACAAAAACATCTTCAGATCGATCAATTGATCTTTGTGTCCTACGAGATGTATACCACAAATTATTTTGCGTCTTTGGGGATTTTTATGCGTCAAGCACACCGGACGCACAGGTAACAAAACCACTGAAAATTATTGGGTGCTCCCATGGTAGCCTGTGTACAGACGTCTCCCTCCCTCAGGAAAAATCGGGAGAGGAGTCTTCTCTCCCAATTTTTCCCGGGGGAGTGGGGACGTCTGTACACAGGCTATCCCATGGTGAAGCTGGGTGAAATATATGTGAATTCTCTTTTTTTACCCTTGTGATATTATAAATAATTATAAATATTGTTAAGTTTTAATAATATTATTATTATTATGGTAGCTTTCTCAGCTGGATGCTAAAAGTTTAAAAAGCTGCGCAGGGTGGACAGCATAACCTGTGAGCCTGGGAGACTTAAAAGAAATATAGCCACAATAATAAAAATATATACTTAAAAAAATATGTAAAAATATCTAGTTCTATCACACCAATGTGAATTGAAGACTGAAGAACACATTACTATATAGGCAAAAATGCCAAACAGATATTTTCATTAAAAAAAAATTATATTATTCACATTTAGTTTCAAGCTGTTTTTTTTTTAATTTATTTCAAAAATTATTTTCTGACTCGTAATAAACTTTGGTCGATGTCCTGTAAAAACCAAAGAAAACGTCTCTATTTTCGAACAATATTTAATTGATTTTTATTGTCATTGAACCACTACCGCGAAGGGGTCCCACGAGCCTTAATCTTAGCCCTATCTGGGTCGGAGCTCGAGGACTGGGCCTTTTACGTAACCTAATACCAAGACAGTTGTGACGAGGGAGAGTGGGGAAGTTTGTTATCCTTCCTTGGTGAGACTGCTCAAGGTTGGCGGGTTCCCAGCATTTTAAGGAATTAATCCTGTTTAATTTAGAAATGATATCTGAACACCGTGCGTGCAAGTAGCAAGTTGTTTTGTTAACTTTGAACCTTTCCTTCAGATTCGGTTTTCGTTTCCGGCCGACGACGTCGAAACTTCAAGTAAGTCCGCGTCATGGAAGAAGCGCTGTCAAAAACAGAAAATTGTGAAGCTTGGAAAAATGGGGCTTTACACGCAATCATGAAAATCATATTAAATCCAACAGAGACACAGCGCAACCACAGATCGTACCTCAATTCTTGGCAAAGATACAAGACGTTTGAGGAAGGGCTGAAAAAAGAAAGTGGTAGAAATGTTGAACTTCTCCTCTCTGGCAGCATGGCTGAATGTCTGTTTGCACAGCACTGGGTCTACAAGGATGGTAGAAGGGAAGCTTTAAATGATATTGACATTATGCTTGTGGATTGTTCGATAACAGTTGTAGAAAGAAGCCAGTTGGTCCAGTTGGAGTGTTCAGGGGTCGTTGATAAAGACCAAGACTGTCAGACAGCCGCAGTCATAAAGATGAATTCATGTAATTCCACAGCTAAATGCTGCAGACAAGAACAACTAAAACCCTTGGACACTATAACGCCTGCTAGCACTCCTCATTCACAAAAGGAGCTCCTTCTTGAGCCAACTAATCACGCTGGCTATGCTCAACTGTATGAACTTGGTGTGGAGGGCAAGCCTGTTTTCCTGTCAGTGGAAAGTTTCAAGGGGTTCTGGTCTGGGATTGTTAACAAAACTGCTCTATATTCCCTGGTCACAAGTGGTCCACAGCTTCCATCAGGCGGAGCTGTTGTGAGTGGCCCTGCCCTAAACAGACGGGATCGCCCAAACAGAAGGAATAACTATGCTCATGATTATGTTCCATGTTTGCATTGTCCTAAATGGCCAACAATGGCGAATAGATGGTGTGAAAGGAAAAGAACGGTTGAATGGCCTGGTGAAAGGTTAATTTGTGATATCATGAGCGACGGTTGTCATGTTGTTCCTGTATCTCACCATGACAATGACAGTGAGTCGTACCATACTGAGTGGAGGCTATCTTTTTCTAGTGCAGAGAAAAGGCTTGTGAACTCTTTGTCAATGGAGCAACGTCACAGTTACATTATTGCAAAGTTAATTATGAAAGAAGTAATCAAGGAAATTCAGGAAAGGCCCTCTCAACCTCCTCTTGACAAAACTCCATCTTCTTATCACTTGAAAACAATCCTATTATGGAAATGTGAGGAAAAGCCCTTAGAAGAGTGGAACAACCTTCTAAATTCAGCGGTAGATTTGCTGAAAACCTTTGAAGATCATTTGAGAAAAGGTAACATCCCAAACTACTTTATACCCGAGAACAACATGATCAGTCATATTAAACATTATGAGCTTGTTTATAATTTTGGCAGAAGGAATAGCAACATCCCTGGATGACCTTCCCAAAACATTGCACCATGTTTTTCTTAGTGCCTATAATACTGTACTGGACTATGATCATGATTACAGTCCAGTGTTAAGACTTGTTGATTGTCAGTTAAAGCTTTTTTGTCACACTGGCAAGGCAGGAGATAAATTATATCTCCTCTACATCCTGAATTTATTGGTGGACTCACTGTCTGCGACAATTACAGGAATATGGGATGATCTACAACCTTTGAAGGACTACGAGCATATGTTAAACATTTATTGTAGTCATTGTAATGTAGAAGCTGGACATGTAACACTTCCACGACATCCAGATTTGGGTGCTGAAGAGTCTAGCAAAACCATGATGATTCTCTTCCAATATCTGTACACTTTATTGCAAGACAATCACATTCTGAATCATCTGCAAACTGACATCTTTGCTGTCATGTCAAGAATCTTAACACGAACTCTTCCTTCCTTGTCTTTAAGTGAAGGAACAGAAGAATTGTTTGGTCAATGTTGCAAAGAAAGCCTGAACATATTTCAGACTGTTTGTAAAAAACTTGGAATAGACCACAGTTCAGACGTTTCATCCCATGATGAATTAACTGTACTTTCTGGTATCGAGTTCATTTTCTTTAAGAACCCAGAGTTTGCTGAATTGCAGACCTTTGAGTTTGCCACCCAAAGATTAAAAAAGTTCAAAGAAGGGGGTCAGTTGGAAACTGTAAGACATCTGCAGTGGTAAAGTGAAAGCAAGGTTTAGATTGAAGACTTGGTACAGTACAGCTTTTAATTCAGAGGGTCCCTTAGAAGTGCACTTGATGAAACTGACAGGTTGATATAGACATGCTCTCCCAAAAGATTTTAATCATTTGGACTCTCATTTTCAGCATTTCGAAGCTAAAAAAGTCATTACAGTCAACTCTCTCTTAACGGACACCTGGTGTTGGTGCCTTCCATTTTCCAGTCATTTTACTATAAGATCTGTACTCTCTGTAAGATAGACACCTCTTAAGACGGACAACAGACACTTAAGAAGTGCTTTATCTAGTGAAAAATACCTCAAAACTTTAACAAAGGTTCTGTACGTGAAAGTAAATTGCTATAATTTAGGGGAAGTAAGTTACATAACCAAAAACAGTTACACTGCATCTTTTGACTCTTTTAGCCTTGAAAAATTGAAATAGTCCCACAGTGGCAGATCCAGGGGGAGGGTTGGGGGGGAGGGGGGGTCCAAACCCCCCTATTAGACCTGACGCTTGTTTGAGACTGAAATTCTTACATCGACAGGATGGTATATCACTTTTTAACTGGCTGATTTTTTCAATGAAAGGTGTGTTGCATTTTGCCACTAAACTGAATTACAGCGATATTAAAAGATGTACTTGTTTTTGGGTACCCTCCTATGATCTGTTCGCCTCTGCTCGCAAAGCAGCATTTCCTGCGCCAATGGCGACTGGCGTTCACAAACTGAGAAGCACGTGGTCGTCTCTGCTTTCTCAGATGGTCGACAATTATAGCGACAACTCAGCCGATAACCTTATTCTATCAAGCAGTCAAAGTTCAACAGTCCTTTTTGAACTAAAGTTTGGACCCCGGCAATAAAGAATTCCTGGATCCACCCCTGTCCCACCAGAAACAATCCATTATCTGTTATAACAGATTAATTTTTGCATGCTTAAGTACTTAAAGTACTGAATGACAGTTTGTTTTGCAGTTCAAACCTTTATTCAAAGAAGCAAATTATGTATTGTTATTCTTTGGTAGTCTTATTCCAGTTCGCAGAATGTACAGTGTTCTGTTATGCTTTTAAACTACTCCATCATGAGCATTGGCTTGTATGAATGTTTGATTGTACAATGAGAAAGTGATTCCACTTTTTTATTACATTGTTCCAGTTTTTACCATTTTGCACAATATTAAAACAGAATGTGTATTCATTGCAAATAGGTTCAGCTTTCTTTTTTTTTTACTATTACTAGTGTCACGCTACCCCAACTCTCTGTGAGCTGGACACCTCTCTAAGACAGACAGTCAGGGCTGGTTCCAAAGGTTTCCCTCTTATAGAGAGTTAACTGCAGTGACATTTTGTCCTGTATGACTGAGAATTAGCTTCTCATTCATACAGTATAGGTTAAGGTCCTGTGACTTTTCTTCCTTAGTGTATGCATACATGGTATAGCTCTAAGGCATTCTCTGTCTGTTCTCTGATTATACAGATTCTTTGATTGACTGGTGCAAAATGAAGACCTGGCACTAGCCTGCAAACAGGCTCCCCACACTCAGCTTGCAGTTTTCTTTATCACTTCGCTCCACTTGGGAGCCTGTTGGCAGGCAAACTGGGCACTTCAGTCACAGGGCAACCAGGTTGGAAAATAGCAAAACGATTCAGTTGTTAAAGGTTGCAGGAAGAAGAAAAATAACAGACGAATCACAATGTCTGACTACCTCCCATAGTTGACCACCTATCCAAAACTCCAAAATTTTCCAAGTCAAGACCCTATAGTTAAAACCACTAGTGAACAGCCACCTCTTGCAAGTGAACGTGATCGTTTTTTAGGAATGGTTATAATTTTCCCTTTCTTTTTAACCTTTGTTTGTAAGTGACAACTTGACACATGGTCTGATCTCAATGTTCACTGTACGTACTACTCTGACCAGAGAATACGAAACTTGAACTCTTAGTGACAATAGGGAACTGCACAATAATTAATAACTGGGAAATATGTAAGTAGTTAATTAATCTTCATGTAAATTGTAGATGAGAGCCCTGTTTCCAGAGGAGACCCTTATAGTTCAAGTCTCTGACAAGAGGTTTACCTGTATTTCAACTTTTACAACACCGTATTTATTTCTGCAAACTGAAAGAGCAACCATCGAACAGTACATATCAGTGGCAGATCCAGACCTTCAGATAAGGGAGGGGGGGTAGTCATCCAGACCCTGAGATAGGGTGGGTGGGGTGCCAGTCTCAAAAACAATTTTTTTCAGCTCTTTAGGCCTCAGTTTGGTCTAAAAATAAGGCCCCTAGATCCGCCACTACATATTAACCCTTTTAGTCCCAGGAGTCACACACCAACATCAATTTTCTCCTAACAATGTCTATACATCATCAAGAGAAAAGGTTTTGATAATTCATTAAATGATCACCAGTGGGAAAATGCCTTGATCTTTTATCAAATTCTCTCAACTAATTCTTTATGGAAATGTATAGAGATCAGTCTCTGTGGGTATACTTTAATCTAGAAGTAAAGTAAAGTAAATGTTGGTGTACTAGTTCCTCTGTACTCATTTAACTTGATATTGCTGTACATTTATTCCAGTTCTTTTTTATTAAATTATAAGCAGTCAGAAGAAATCTGGTACCTGTGTTTAATCAAAATTTTGTTTTACATATCATTTTAAATTTGTACAAAATGAATGAATATTCACCACTGACATTACTTTAATCGAAGACGTCATATTTATGAGAGAGAAAATAATGATCCCTAAGATGCTTGTCCTGGCTGGGGATGCCAGAACAAATGCAGTAGGACCCCAAAAAAGTACAATCAGCGTCTTGAACGACATGCTCTCGAGATTTTCTTGGTATTTTATTGGGGAACTTAAGCAAAGGTGTTTTTGAGCAAAGGACGTCAACTGAAAGTGAGGCCTTTTCCCTTTTAACCCTGCAAGTCCCAATGGTGACCAACATCAATTTTCTCCTAATGATATCCATACACTTTCAAGAGATATGGTTACGAGAATTGATAAAATGGTCACCAAAGTGAAATTGCATTGATCTTTTATCAAATTCTCTCAACACATTCTTTAAAGAAATGTATGGAGATCAGTTTGGAGAATTTGTATGTGGATATTGGGGCTTAAAGAGTTAATACGCCTTGATGATACCAAATTTGTATCGGAAGTGTCTTTATTCTTGTAGAGATGATTTTGTCAAAAATTTGGTCAAAACCACTGCCCAAGAATGAAAAAGGTACGCTTCCAGTTGACATTTGTCGCTCAATAACATCTTTGCTTAACCTCCCTATTTTTTCATTTTTGGTCACCATATCTGACAGTTCACAAAAGGGTGTTCCTAGACTGTTTTCTTTTTTTAGGGTTTAACAGCCCCTAAACCCCCAATCCCTAGGCTTAATATGCAGCCGTTTTGTTCCTTCTTATCGAGAGGATGATGAAAACCAGACTCTCTCAAACAGCTGGAAATTGATCCTAATCCATCCCCCTCCACCCCCAGCCAGGAAAAGCCAGAAAAGCAAAAAGGGGTGTCTACAATAAATTCTCCTCTCGTTTCACAAGCAAACACAAGGTAAATTGAAAGAATAATCTAGCTGCAGTTAATCACAGGTCACGTAGGGCTTTAATTTTATGTTGTAATATGAAACATCAAATCAAATAGACATACCGGTATTAAACAAAAAATAAAATGAACTAATTTAGATACAAAAAGATGTGCATTCTGAAAACCTTTTGTTGAGTTATAGCATTTTAGACTGAATATAGAGAGGACATTAAATTTTAACAAAGGTTTCTGCCACAAATGTTTGCAAGTCAAAGATGACAGTCCGAGGGAAAAAGTCGTAATGCATGTAACACCCCAGAACATAATAATGACATTAGGCAGAAAAAATTTAAATGAAGCAATTACTTTTAATAATATTTCAATATTTCTTTTGCTGGTTGATTAGGATTTGTAAGACCTTTCATAATTTCTGAATAGCAGAATATTAAATAATATTAACTTAAGCTTTGGAAAGTGAAGGTTTAAATTATTCACCACCATAGAGGTGAATAGTGAATGTCTGCCACTTTTCACAGGCTCAATCCACGCGTATCCAGATATTTTTGAATCCGCAACTTTTTCTGTACGGATACAGCTTCTGTCCACACGTATCTGGTGAATCCAGCATACAAATCTCATTCTGGGCATTAGCATCATGCTGCTTGAAACTCATGTATAGCTGGGTATCATCTGTGTAACAATGAGCCTCGGAGAGATGACGTTGAATAACCTTGAAAGCATAGAAGTGTACATAACAAATAGTGGAGGACCTAAACAGGACCCCTGAGGTGCACCACAGTTAAGATAGCGTTGATTGGACAGAGAATCATCAATACAGACTTGTTGGCATTGACTAGAGGGATATGAGCGAAACCAGCCAAGCGTAACACTGCACATTCCAATGTCCATGTCAAGTCTCTCCAACAGAAAGTCGGGATTGACATGTTCAGCAGAACATCATTCATTACTTTCAGCGAGGCTGTTTCCATACTGTGGTGTTGGTGGTACGATGACTGGAGCTTGCGATATAATGAGTTAATAGTCAACAAGATCGAGCCCAGTTCTTTACTGTGAATACTGTATTCAAGATGGCAACCTCATTCCAAGGGTTCTCTCAAGGCAGAGCAAGATGCAAATTTTGCATGCTTTAAGATGCATACTCTGTTCGCAATATTCCCAGAGGAGTGCTGGGTACTAAAGTGAATCTGGACACCTGTCGGATACATGTCGACGGGCAAATTCGATTTGAATACAGATACATGTGGATGTGAAAATTCTTGAATTCAGAAAAAAAGGTGCGGATTCAAAAATATCTGGATACGTGTGGATAGGACCTCAGATTCTAAAATTACTAGCAGCAATTGTAATAATTCCCCTTTTAATAGATACCAATCAAAAGAAAACATGTATGTACCCAATACTAGAACTCAGGGATGTGGCTAAGAAAAGCTATCCAAGGTTTTTAAAAAACCAAACCAGATTTTTCACTCAACTGCGACTAAAAAGTAATTCCTGCCTTGGTTTTCCAGGGCAATAATTAATCAAATAATTATTATTTGAGCTGGTGATTAACTATTTTTCAGACAGTAAAATAAGCCGGCAGCCACCTCTTAGCAACATCCCTAAGTACGTAGTAAACACATTTATTACGTGACTGGTTGCACGAGTGAGAAAGATGAAGCCAATCCTGAATTTTGGTTGGCTACCCGAGCAACCAAGATAATCCTATTTTGCCCTCTTGCTTTGTCCAGCAGAAGAAGAGTTTGTGTCAGCCATATACCAAATCCTTAACTGATCAATCCTGTTTAATCAAGATTGATCTTGTTTGGCAAAAAATGGGGATCCAAAATGAGGAAGCATTTTTACACGGAATCCATAACAGTGCTTTTCAGTGAATAGGAAATACCATTCAAAAGTACACGTATGAATTTACCAAAGAATGCAAAAACACTATTAATCTTTAATAGTGCATTTTCTTTTAAAAGCCTTTTAAAGCCTTAATATCAACTTGCCAATTGTCCACCAAAAAGACGCCACTATTGCTGGTTTTTACTGTCACACCATAACAAAAAATTAAAGCGCTCAATAGATTAAGTCCCAAATCTGGGAAATGAAAGGAGGTAACATTCAATTAATTTATGCTTAATTAAGCAGTCATGTTGTCAGTAGAAATTCAATGCTGGTTATTACATAACTAAGGCCTAAAAAGTTGAGCAACATATTAAGTACATTGCTGTAGCAAGCAATTCAGGTGTTACAAAAGAAGAAAGGGAGAGAGGAATTTGGGTGTGTAAGATAGGCTTGTTCTCAAGCTCTTAAATTCTCGCCTCCCCTCCCCTCTGAATCCCTGGCAAGCAGACTACCAGTCAAGAGGACTTTAATTTAAGCTCTTTAGCAAAAGGACAAATGTACATCATACAAGACTAGAACAATAAGTTAGCATAAGTGTAATTATTACACTTACAGCTGACACTCACAGAAAAAGCATTTTTTCTACTAATTCTCCAGAACAAGTCACTCTGAGAGAACAATTCTTAATCATTCATAAAATTTATGTACATGTACTTTGTATGTTTTATGTTCCTGTCTTCTTTGTAGCAGTGAACACGGCTAAGGCTCCTAGTAAAAGTACAAGACCAACAGTGTACCAGCTTGGCTCTTGTAGCCGGAAATCTAACACACCTCTCTGTGGAGGAAAACAGTAAGATTTTATAAAAATGGGAGATGAGCCTTAAACGGTTTAAAACCGATAATATCAAGTGTTTTCTTCAATACATATATAAGTTACAAGGAAGCTTTATAAACTGTTAAGCAGGGCATCAATGTAACACACAGAATATAAAAAGAATAAAAAATATATTACTGTTTCAGTCACTTTCCAAATTGATTAATGTCACTGTGAAACCGCTACTATTACTACTACAGTGTACTCTTACAATTATTGTAAGAAAGGCCAGTCTTATCACCTGGAACAAGTGGATTTTGCTATCTGGTGGTTAATTCTGTTCTTAACTTGCCTAACAGGCACATGAAGTTTTTTGGGGAATTCAAATTACATGTATAGGAGAACTGTAATCAATCCTGCTCATTAAAAAAAATTTTTGGGCTAGTCAAAATGCCTCTTGGGCTTTTACATGCTAGCTGCAGCTTGCCTGAATGGCAAGCTGTAAAACTGACTTTCTTTGCTCCCTAACTCAGTCAAATCCTGTCATTGGGGACCACAAATAGTGGCCACAGAGGGCTGTTATAGCGAGGTCCAAGCATAATTTTCTTAAATAACTCTTGCATTAGATAGGTAACTTCATTTACAATGACACTGACAGAAGTAGAAATCCAGGTGTAAAAAAATATTTGGATTCTAGACTGGGTCAATCAAAGCAAAACCAAGACTACCAGGAGGCAGAAAGAAGGAATGTTGATTGATACATATGTACACAACAGAAGAAGCTAATTGTGTGGATAGCATGCTATTTCACTGTTTTTATGATGCTTAAAACTTTGTTTCAAAATATTTCCAAAACGCTGTTATAGAATTTGTTCAAACTTTAGCGATTTCTTAAAAAACCTCCTGGTACAGAGAAACACAAAGATAAATTAAAAACGCTAATGGTGTCATTATGTTGCCATGGCGACTCCGATTGCAATAAAACCCAGATCATAAGAAATTTTCATCTTTATATAATACAGTTGTGGTAACCTTTTCCCCATAATATCTTTACTCATGCCGACGTAGTTAATGCTCAAACTTGGGAGGTATCCCCACTAAAAAATCCAGTTGAGCCACCTTAAGACTTAGTGTACTGCCCAGTTATGCATCAGGAAATTCCAGCTGTACCCATGTTCCCATCCCCCCCTCACCCCCCTCCTCAAGAATAAGCAATTTTTTGCCTTAGATGGCAAGGACAAGAGTGCAAAAAAATTAATGTCCTGCCCTCAATCAACTTTGCAGCAGTATTCATTGATCACACAATCAAATAGCACCACTTTCAGCATTTTAATGTGCAAGTTTTTGTTTCAGTGAATGTATGCCTTCATGATAGCCTTATTCTAATTAAGACTTCATGCTAGGATAACACCACTTCATGATTCTTATTCCATTATCGTTATTCATCTTGTTCTAAATAGTTCGTAAGTGAAAAAAATTTACATTGAAATTTAGTGCGCTGTGAAGCTACATGTATCTGCTCTGAATAGTTTAACAATAAGAAAGGAAGTTGTTCAAATATTAGATAGATCATACACGATCATAGAAGTATCACAATCATCACCACTAAATTTTATGCACATCCTAGATCAACAGAAATTTGATTTAATAACCATAAAAATATGTCAATTCATGTCAATAGCTCCTGATTTTGCCATGTAAGTTCTGGCTTGATAAGCAGAGAAGAAATGCACGCACAAAATCATGAAAAAATGCCTTAAAAAAACTCTACAACCTTTTCACATCCTTGATAGATGAGCCAATTTGCCAGTCGGCTTGTGTTTCCAGGAAAATCCTCCATGTTTAGTTATATTTGGATAGGAAATCGTGTGTGTTTCAAAATCTCAGGGTGGCGCTGGAGTGGGCAAAGCCTGACCAACAGACCACGCAAAATTTGCTAATGCCCCACCCCTGAGACTAACATAGCATGCAAATGCCCCGCTGTAGTCCAGAGGGGATTAGCACAGCTGGAATTGACTGATACATTAATGAAAACAATTTCTGGTATTATATGTACAACGAAAATAATTTTGCTTATAACCAGAAAAAGCTCATTTGACATTTTTCCACATCTGTCTCTCTCTCTACTTACTTGCTGATGGTTTTTTCCCAGTTTTTTGACACCTGCGCTGCACCCAATGGGGAGCCTGTTCGCAGGCCATTACAAAATGTCACCACAAATTAGCACACAAGAAATGTGAAGAGACCAAATTGTACAGAGTAACACAATACACTTCTACGATTTTTAATGAAAACATACAAGGATGTTGGCCCAAAAAACAAGAAATTTGAGAAAAACCTCGGTTACCATCTAGTGTAGCAATCTGTATCTTGAAAAAGAATTTTCAACCACAAATAAAGGATTACATTTACTTGAAATTGGAAGTACCTGAAAACCATCTAGAGGCAGCTGGTACATCTGCGAGACTTTAAACCCAGGATCGCGTGTTTACATGTGTCAAATTAAGACATAAGCTTAATAAATTTCTCGCCAACTTATTTGAAGTCTCAAGATTCATGAGAAATCTTAATATTGACATCACGAAAGAGCCTGATGTAATATTATTATCAATACTTGTGATTAAACAGGATATGCCGAGGGTATAACTTACCCATCCTCCATGCTGTGCTATCCATCTAGCAATTCTTTCGTTGAAGATAAAATCCACCACAAATCGAATGATTCTCCGTAAAAAACTACCGCTGAAGCCTCTGCGTATGACAGTCACAGCAATCTCGTAGGCGAAACAAAGTAGAGCAACAATTCTACCCCAGTTTATGCCCGATCGAAACAGCCTTCGAGCCACTGCGGCAAAAGTTTCATAGGCCGTCGCTGGTGTAAGGCTTAATGAATCGATCATGTCCTTGAATTGGTCTTTGTATTTAGCATCTATTTCATCACCTATCTCTCCTAGCCGCCTTCCAATAACAGGAACATGCTGCGAAAATGGATGAGTGTCATTACAAGAACGCAGTTCCTCGAGCGCGTCTGGACGAGCGCTAGCTGTTGGACTGTTCATTTCGCCTCTTTCCTCAACTCTCTCCGTCTCATCCTGATATCTTTGGAACATGAAATTTCGAAAAACTCCTTCTGTGTCTCTTATGACAGATGTCTCATCTTCTTCAGCCTGAATTTCTGGCCTATTTTGGCTGGAATCTTCACCACCCGAGGCCATTGCTACTCCGAACCACGAATTCGAGCAGTTGAGCCGACAGTTTATGTGGCAAGGGACAGCGGAGTCTCCCCTAGGCGAACCTTCCTGCCGATCCCCGATGCCCTCGGGAAACGCAGCCCGGGGGTCGAAGGATATGCGGGCTTACGTGATCTGCCATTGTAAGGGACTGTGCAATAATTATCAGGAGAGGGGGCTGAAAAACTAGAGGAGGGTATTACATAAAATTGCTGCCAAGATAGGGGGGGGGCTCAAAGTAAAATCACTCATTTGACGGAGGGGGGGGCCTTAAGTTTTATTCGAAATGTAAATAAAATTAAACGCAATGAAAGATTCGCAATACAGGCATCATGATAGACTGTAACAAATATCAATACGAACAGCTGTTAAACGATTATTGAAAATGTTCCATCAAAATGAAAAGCTTTTTCACAACTGATCAATTTTAACCCGTCTTCTAATTAATTGAGCTGATCCTATGTAAAGCAAAAATCATGAACTTGTTTTTCAGCTTCCCCCTTAAAACAATGGGAATCAAACAGATCTCATAGACAAGCTTTGTCGGTTTTTGATGTGAAAAAAAGTAATGTTTCTTCATCGACTGAATCGATTTGCTGAATTCCATATATATCTGGCTCATAACAAAGTTCAACAGGCTCTCCTCCCAAGGATCTAAATATAATGCAAGCTCTTTTTCGTCTGTTATTTGAAGCGTTCAATCTCCTGTTCTTTGATTTTTTTCTTTTCTCTGCTCCTTTCTCTTTCTGGCTTCAGAGGTTTTAGATTTTGAGCCAATGTGGTAAGCACCCCAGTACTTAGCAAATGCTCTGTCTAAATCTTCAATCAAGCGATCAACATCCTTCTCGATACTAGATGCTACATAATAACGTTTGTCATGATTGAAGCATGACAATATAAAAGGTACTTACTTAGTATCTATGGTAATGGTGGCGGTGAGGGGTGGGTGTGTGTGTGTGTGGGTGGGTGGGTGGGCGGTGGGGGGTGCGACGTTATTTTTAACATAACAGAGGGGGGTTAGAACTCATTTTTTTTTTGTTTTGGAGGGGGTACTGTCTAAGTTTTTGCTAGATAACTCTAGTTTTTCAGCCCCTGCTCCTGATAATTACCGTTAAATTCCGAAAATAAGCCCCTCCATGTATAAGCCCCTCCAAATATAAGCCCCCCAACATCGCAACGCAACAAACCCTCCGTTAAATCGCCCCTCCGAATGTAGGCCCCCCCGGGGGCTTGTACTGGGAATTTGCCCTCGAATACAAAGCAAAACAAAGCATAAATGGTAAATTTCCTTTCCACTACAAGCTAGCCCAATCGATTTTATAACGCAAATTTCCCTCCGTACATAAGCCCCTCCGAATATAGGCCCCTCCAAAAGTAAGCCCCTCAAAAAGGGCCTTTGAAAAATATAAGCCCCGGGGCTTATTTTCGGAATTTTACGGTATTGCACAGTCCCTAACCTGAGATCAGGCATTTTTTTTTTCTTTTGCTTCCTTGCTTCTTTGGCTCTAGAGGAAAAAAACATAAAAACAGATTACAGAGGTAAAGGGAGTCAGAGCATGATCGATCGCACGCTACTTCCATTGGGGCAAGAGAATTCTCCCTTGGTTGGGGCCGTTAATTCTTTGTCCTGATTTAATACTTTCGTACCCCTGGTACCGATACGATCAAAATTTAGCCGATAGCCGTAAAAATTTAAACATTTTAAGCGTTAGCCGTAAATAGGGTAAAAATAGTTAACCGTAAAAAAATTTTGCTCCTTAGATTTGAAAATTTTGAGGAAAGTGCCAAACTCACTTATGACCGGTTGTTTTTCTTATTTCGCGGCTACTTTGACTCCGTACGTTCGAGTTTCCGCTAGTTTTGCTTTTCACGAAGATTTTTTTCGAATGAACAAAGAGTTCATGTCATTTTTAGAGAATGAGAAAACTCTCATGCGGCAAAAATCTTCAAGGCCATACTTCTCAGCTTGGCTCTGACACTTGTAAATCTGAGAGTCACCGAAATGTTCGAGTTCTCAATCTGTTTGCTTGTCATTTTTTTAGTTCATGTTGTACAATCTGTTCTTCAGGGGAATAAACACCCTATCGTGGAAGTAAAAAGAGAAGAGGGTTGCAAAACCAAAGCGACGCGAAGAACGAATCAGTAGCCCCTGAAGAAAAGGAAATAACGCCAAGATGCAAAAGACGGCAAACAGCCTGATCTTCTTTTTCACAGTTAACATCTTAATTTTACGTCTTAATTTTACTTTGCGTTATTTTCCTCACTTATATGTGTTGTCCGTGACTGTGCTCACACGGTGGGTTGCTCCTCCTAAAATGTTCTGCAATTGGTATAGGATTTAATGGAGCCGAAACCAATTATGGAATTGCACACTTTTTAGGAATCCTACTGATGAACAGTTGCGACACGTAGATATATATTTTTTAGCAACTACTATAATTTGCAGTCTGTCCACTTTGAATCTATGCGCGTAAAATGATTTTAGAAGTGGAATACTTAACATCTATCAAATATTAAAAAAATTTCAAAATAATAACTTATTTCATCCGTAGATGATCCTAAGACATTCATTTGCTTTAAAAGATACAAAAAAAATACAGGTTTATTAATATTTAACTCTTTGAAACCGAAAAAAATGATTTTTAACTTTTTTGTTCACCGTAACTAAAAAAAATTGACCGATAATCGGAAGAGCCACCACCCCACCGTTCATATATTATCTCTCTATCTCAGTATGTATATAATTAACAACGTGACTCATTTGTCATTATAAACAAGATATATAGACGGCTAACTGATAGGTTAGGAGATGAAAAGTAAACAAAACTATAAACAAAATCTTAAAACAAATATGAGTGTTATACCAAGCAAGAACCAGAGCACGTGTTATGGCTTGCACAAAGACTGCTACTCTTTGCGTTCATTATATAATATCTTACCTCTGCTATGATGTGCAATTCCTCATTTTCAATACTTACACCGACATTAGAGAACTACAGGAGTTTTGCTTGACAAATTTTACCTTGTTTCATTGAGTTTAGGTGGTATCTTTCTTGGAAAAAAATTGAAATCTGCTGCGTCGGATACCACCATATTTAAGCTACAATCCCGGACAAAAGTAGTTAGGAAGGTTGTAATAATTAACAGCATCATTGATAAATTTCAAGGCAGTCCATCTTGATGTTCAAAACCGGTGGTTTTCCAGTTCGCTAATTGGTCCCTCTCTACCCCTATTCAATGTTGGGATATATAGCAGAACAATTGCCGGTGCAGGCACTTAAGTTTTGTCCCCATATTGGGCCAGGGGTCGGGGGATAGACGAAAAAAACAGGTGAAAAGTAGTGGTCTTTTTTTAACGGGCAATGATATGTAGTTCGTAGTGTCTTTAAAGGTTGTGGACGTAACACCTGACTTAGCATGGAGCAAGGCTCCGTAGCGAGGAGGGAAAAGCAAACAACTGGGGGAAATAGCAAAAAAAAAAAAATCGGTGAGCCAAGCGAGCCGAGCGGTGGACTGGGAAGGGGGAAGGACGGGCTAGCCTCCACCAATTTGCCTCCACCACCTTTTCCCCTACCCAGGCTCCTACTCGCCTTTTTCCCCCAGTGCGGAGCCTGGTCCCCGGCTACACCTGTCTATAACTTAACATATATAATTCTGCTAAGTCATTTCCGGCATCTGATATCTTGAAGAAGCCCTCAAACTCCTCATATCAAATAAAACCTGACTAACTTTAAAAAAAAAAACAACCCTTTTGTTATTCACAGTCTAGCAATCTTAAACTTGTGAATAGACGATCAAATAGTTAATAATAAATGAGTAGTTAATTAGTATGGAGAGTGTCAGCTCCCACAGCGAAAAACTCATAAATGCAAATGCGAATAGCTTTTTAGCTTTACAGTGCCTAGGGGCTGTGTCAGGGATCTCTTAGTTCTGTCATTTTGTTAATTAATGTTGCTAATTACTGATCATGAGAAGTCAAGTTCGTCTATGTGATATACAGAAGTGTTATCTGCAACGTAAATGTTAAACTGTATCATTTAGAAGCCCACAGATCTCTTGAAAACCCATTTTCCTTTTCAAAGCGGTACTTTTTATTGATTGATCCAACCCAAAAAGTTCCATTGAAAAAAAAAAACAAAAGTTTTATTTTTCGACTAAATGGTGAACACGTTTTTAGACTCGCTAGAATGGGGAGCATCTTAATTGCCACCTGCTATATCTTCGTACATAATTGACAAAACGCTTATCCTCTCCTTGTCAAAACCCTTAAAAGAATATTTACCGTTTGCATATTAAATCCATAATGTTGCCAACTATATTAATCTTGTTGGCTGGAAATGACACCAAAGGCAATATACACCACACTGTTCGGTTACAATTCGAGTTTGTAAATACCACAGCAGGTTCTTTTGAAGCTCGCAGACATTATTCTTAGCTTATTTTACCTATTTGAAAATGATTCGTACCGATTAAGATAGTCACTACACACTACTTGCTTAATTGGCAGAAAGACAAGGCTCAGCGATTCAATAAACGCATTTTCGATTCAATAATTGCAGGCGGTCGACAGTTATCATATATTCATGAGTTTATGGGAATTCACCATAGATACGCTTAGTTTACTCAAAAAGCGATTCAGCCTTATTTTGCTACATTCAACACTTGTTTTCAGATGCAAAGCACCCGAAAGTGGTAAGTGTTAGTCCACACTAAAACGGTTGATTTTCAGACGCTGTATATGTCTTCGGTGAAGAAACAAGTCCGCTTTAGCGAGCAGGATGGAAGAAACACCTCATTAAGTCAAACTTTAACTCTGCGACATATTGAGACGCCAAATTCTGACACTAGTTCCAGAAATATCAGGAAAAAAAAGGGACGGAGAAAGACTAAACTTCAGCTACTCAAAGCCGAAAAGAAAAAGCTACAAAGGGATTTAAAGAATACCAAGGAAGGTATTTTGGAAGATAATGAAAGAAAGGCAAGCCCGTTATATACTCCTTATGAAAGCAGACAGAGACTCGCTCGCACTGCGAGTGAAACGTTGACAAAGCTTCAGCAAATACAGGGAAAAATTGTAACAAAGGAAAAGACAAATAAATTGAAAGTTCAGCGAAAATTAAGCGCTAAGTTACAAAAAAGATCCATCAAAGCTGATAAGCAACACAGCCGGATCATCAAAATGACTTCAAGGATGGAGCGAATGAAACTAGGAGAAGAGGAACTGCGCGCTGAGATTGACAGAGAGCTGAAAGAAGGAGCGACTTATACGCCTACTGATTCAACAGACGCAGAATCTAGTCCAGTTCGTTTACCTCGCATTCGCTCAGCTGATTCAGCTGACTGGATAAAGCTTTCAAGTTTACCTGAGCCCAGAATAGATAATGAAGAACAAGACTCTAGACCTACCTCTGTGTTGAGTGATTTTGCAATTCAGCTGACTCCAAGCGAGAAGAGGATTGCGGCAGACAAGCTTGCTCATAAGTACGATATGACACGTGAGCTGAGAAACGCAATTCATGAACACATGATATCGCGCTCTTATAGTTTTTCATATTTCAATATCATTCCGCCGTATAAGAGGAAAAAGCCTAAACCCCAGAAAACGAGACAAGTCTTTAACCGTTTGGTTTACGAGGACAAAATCGGGGTTATGGATTTTAGAAAACTGCAACCGAAAAAAGTAGTTTTAAGCTCCTAAAAAGTTACTGTAAGAAATGCCTTGCAAAACTTACGGAAAATTCCTACATAAGATCGTTAGTATTTAAACAGAAAAAACCTCCTATCAGAGAGGGAGGAGAAGATTAACTTGTTGTTCCAAGAAGATATAGTGCTCGACTAATGAGAATTGGATGTATCCATTAATTCCTCGCCGAGTTCGCTCGGTTGACTTTTTAGAGTTCCGAAATTAGCCTTTATGATGATAAATTCTCTCTGCGGGTCTCCGGGGAGACGATTGCGCGCTACCAGTTACTTGTGATCTAAACCCGAACTTTATTGCCCTCGTTTAGCAGTTTTGTTCAAGAAAACAGGTTTAAACATGATGTCCTTTAAATACCTGGTGGATACTCTAGAGTGGATCTTTTACGAGCAAAGGAAGCTTGACATCGCGGCGTTAATCGTATTTAAATAAAATATAAAGTTTATACACTGTTTGTCTTAATTTAGTTGACTGAAGTAACCTTTAAAAGGATCTCATAGATACTGGTTTCCAAGCAACCCTGAAGTGCTGAAAATCAATTAGGCTCTAAGTCAACAACGTCCAGGCAACCATGCTGTTTTGGTTGTTGTCGTTGTTGTTGTTGTTTGCGTGGCTATGGTTACCATTTCCTAATCCACGCCCATATCTGGGATATGAATTTTTATCAGTACTTGACGTGATGTTAATAAACCCCTGAAAACGTAAACAAGACAATTATCCGCGCCAGTTATCCATGAGTTAGCTTCTTGTACAAGTCTGGACTATATAAAAAACAAAAAAAAGTAAAAATTCTTCTCTCTAAAATTAAATTGTACATCAACTAGAGTAAAAAACTGGCATTTATTCTGTGTTTGTAGGAGGCTGACAATTTAAATGGGAGTTGATGAAAGTTAAACTGATTAGGCGAACATTCTAACGAGGTCTACACTTAGCACTATTAGGTTTTTCCGCCAAATATTGAGTAATCACAAATCACAAGTTTAACGACAAGATTTGGTCAACTACGTCCTTTTTATATCTGTTCGACATCCTTTTTAATCTGTTTCTTGATTCTGAACACAGCCGACTACTCGTCCATGAAGGGGGATTTTTCAATTTAAACGCGGTTTTGTTTAATTCTTATTTATCTCAAAGCAATCGCTTTATTTAACAAACGTTCCAATATAATCTTCTCTTCTGCCTGATGTTTTAAACTGGCGTGACTTAATGTTGACGGTATATTGACCTGATACTTTAGCGATTCCAAATTGAATTCGGAACCGAATTCAAAAAATGTCGAATTAATGCCTCATTCACTCATTCTTTGGTGTTTACCGTATTGCTGTACGTATTTTAAAAGCCTCTGATCTGACAACAGCAAGTGCTCGAGCTAAATCACAACTATATCTACCATCCTGTTTCCGAAAATGATGTATTTTTTAAAATATCCCAACGGGAGTTTTTTTAATTTACGAAAAATCGTCATTGTTGCTTAAAATGTTTATATTAATTGCTCGAGATAACTTCTAAATACTTTCATTGTTTCGTTTCAGAAAACAAAAGACTGAATTTAACACCGCAATGTTTCATAATTAAAGTTCAGTTGGTCGTACGAGCTCTGAACGACTTTGAAACTGGAATGTTTGAATTAGATATGCTTCCGGCGTTCTTCGTTGCAAAAACACTGATCTCATGTATGTCAGCAAATGATATAGAACTAATAGAATAGCTATTTCAGTAACCGTTGAAGCTGAATTTTCACCCAACAGCTCGAGGATGGAGAGGAGACAAGTTCTGAATACAAATTCAGGTCAAACTCCAAATTCCAACGCAAACTCCAATAACAAGACCTTAAAGAAGAAGACAAAGAAAAGGACAAAATTGCAAGTACTCAAAGCAGAGAAGAAAACGGTTCAAAAGGGTTTACAAGCGACAAAATTAGCCATTTTGGAAGATAATGAGAGAAAAGCAAATCCGAATTACACTCCGTACGAAAACCGAAAGAAGCTAGCAAGATTGGCGTTTGATGCTGTCTCTAAACTTCATCAGGTAAAGGGAGAAATTAACACCAAGGAAAAGGAGATCAAACAGAAGGTCAATAAGCAATTATCGACCAAGATCAAGAAAAAATTTATTAAGGCCGACAAACAGTTCAACCGACTCATTAAGATGACTTCAAAGTTGGAGAGAATTAAAATGGACGAAGAGGCATTGCGCTCTGAAATTACTGAGGAAGCTAAGAAAGGATTAGAAACTGTTAACCTCAATAACTTACAATTTGGAACCCTGAACTCCAGTGATTCAGAGCCCAGTCCTCTTCGACTGCCACGCATAAATTCAGGCCCAAGCACGTGGATACGGCTCGCAGCACGGGCATGCGCACCTGAACATAATGTGGTTGTCAGAGAAGAAGCTTCAATACCTGACTCTGGTGGAAGGAATTCCACAATTCATTCACACCCAGAAGAAAATAGATCGGTGGCAGACAGGCTTGCTCATAAGTACGAAATGACACGCGAGCTAAGAAACATAATTCACCAACATATGATAACCCGTTCTTACACTGTTTCATACTTCAACATAATTCCTCCATATAAGCACTTTAAGCCCAAACCTCAAAAAAGCAAAAACACATTTAATCGCTTGGTTTTAGAGAACAAAGTAGGGACAGCACCCCTTAGTAACCTGCAGCCAAAGGTTTAATACTCACAATACTTTTAGCGGAGCACAAGTCCTTAACTTAACATACACTTGTTACATTGCAGTGAATTTCATCACAATGAAAAATGCTATTTTTTCCTGGGCGCGCTTACTTGTCTTACTTATTTTCACTCTACAATTTTGAGGCCAATATAGGTGTGTCAGACCGTGCTAGTCCTAGATCAATTATACTTTACTTTTGAACCTCGTACCCAGGGCTTTATCTTGCAAATGGGATCCCCATTCCCAAACCCCTAGTGATATGGGCATCCCCTTCTCATATTTGGGTTAGGGTTAGGTTAGGGTTACAAGGGATGCCCATATCACTGTGACAGGGCCCTCTCATTGTCTGAGGGAAATGCACTGGGGACGAGGTTGTATAGTTTTTTCTCCCACTTCTATCCCGGGATTCTATCTTGGTTATTGTTATTCATAACATGGAAATAAGAATGGCTCTGCCTTGGGAAAAAGTAATTAAGACACAGCGGAAGTAGAAACGTGGGGCATGAGATCAACCCTGGCGACTCACAATCTCACTTATATGTGTCAGTCTCTTCACCTTCGTCGCCTCGAGTAGAATGAAGGCGAGAAACACCTGTAACTTCTTTGGATCATTTTTATAATCCTTAGAGTACCAATTACTAAAGAAAATGGTGTTTGCATTGTAACTTAGGTCCGCTTAGGGCAGTGAGTGCGAATTTAGTGAGACATGAAACGGTGGCGCTCTCGTCTGGTTGTTGCACTCTACTGGCTATACGTATTAGAATACGGGAGGAGTAAATCCTTTCTCATGGAATAGGTCGTACTTTAGGCTGCGAAAACATCCGTTTCTCCTCGCTCTTCGCCGCTGGGGACGTTTTGCGCTGAGGAACGTCTGCGACTCAGCGACAGAAATTCGATACTGATGACGCAAATTAATGTGTACATAATAAAGTCCGGTAGTCATGGGGTTCCAAATATATATTTGTCCAATTTTACGTGTCTTCTGGTCGATTTTGGAAAGTGTTGTGTTCATCTGTCAACGAGCTCCAGCAAATCTCAAATGCTTCTTCTAGAGAAGACTATATTCCACAAGCATTGACTGGTTTGTTGGAGATTCTTCGCGTTTACATTTGACCTTTGTGGCCTTTGGTCTTTTGTCTGTCATTTGTAAACAGTGGCTAAAACAATGTAACTACTCCGTTGACCAATCAGCTCTTCTGAACGGATTCCGAACATATTTTACGTCATGAGTATGGAATTTCTGCCGCTGAGTCCCAGACGTTCCTCCGCGCGAAACGTTCCCAGCGGCGAAGAGCGAGGAGAAACGGATGTTTTCGCAAGCTAGTAAACCTGGGGTGGTACTCCCTTATATGACTTGTGCGCTTGCCCGGGGGACTGATCAAACAACCCCTTTCCCAGGGCCTCCCTTCTTTCCGTCTCCTAGACTGGTCAATTGTTAGAAAGCTGAACAGCGTTACGTTATCCACTTAATATACTACAAGCCAGTGGATAAGTACTGAGGGAAATTAACTGTTATCAATGGATAGTGATTTATCCGAAGGATAGCAACATCCACCCGGTGAACATCGAGGCTTGGAACGAGGTCAGGGAACGAGCTTGAATGAGAGGTTTAATACGAAGGAGTTTGAGTAAACGCAACTCTTGGCCTTTGTACTATGAGAGACTCATAAATATCCCATAGCCTGCGCAAAGCCCTTGATCAGGCCACAACATATAGAAGTAAATTGGCTCATTCCCAGCCTTGTACTTTTTCTTACATCACTCGATGGCGAAAAGAGTCGAAAGAAGATTCGTAGAACTGTCGACGCACAAGTGCTCATGGGAAGTGCGATGGGAAAGAGGGGCCAGATTCCGGACATCAAGAGCTTTTTAGCGGTCAGTCCCTCACTCCTCACTCTGATTTATACGCTTGTCGCTTTTCCAATTCGTATTTTTTTTCGTTGACAAAATACAGAGGTTGCTCGGGGGGTACTCCTGGGAACTTTTGGTTGGGCTGTGCCGCCCGGTTCTCCAAATCCTGACCCTATAGACCTTTGTCACGCGGCGCCATTTTGTCTCAGGAGATTTAAAAAACTTTGTTTATGTACGGCTAGCCTCGTAGAGAGAACGAGGCTAGCCCTGCATAAACAAAATTAGACAAAATGGCCGCCGTGTGACAAAGGTCTATTTCAGACCAAAAAATGTCATTTTTCACACCCGTTTTCAGACCTGGTCTCTAAGAAATTACGTCATCATTACTCAGATTAGCCTCCCCCGCAGGCGTTTTTAGGGGAGATCGTATTTCTTCCCTCCCTTGTGGGGAGGGAAGAAATACGATCTCCCCTAAAAACGCCTGCGGGGGAGGCTATACTCAGATATGAACAGCAACAAAATATATTCCTTAAAATCCATTTCGAAATCGTATATTTCTCTCTCTTTCTTACTCATTTGGAATTGAAACGATAAATACGTTCATACAAGAGCACTTGGTTCATACACTCCCGTAGTTCCCTAGAAAACCATACCCGATTCCAACGAAGGTCTCCTCCTATCTAGCTCTCTAAAAATGCTTTCTCAGCAGCGCTATAAAATTTGCATCTGGTCGGTTGTCCTTGGTCTTTTGTGAATTTTTCTGATTCCTCTTTCCAACACATTTTTAATCCAAAAATTTTAGGTTTCCTTTTCCCGAGGAGAAATGTGAAAAATTAAGCTTTAGAGAATGGTGGGGAATTTATTAGATAAGCTTAAAAAATCGTCATAAAGTAAAATACTGTAACGGTCATCTAAAAATCCTTAGCGCTATCAAGCCACTGAGAAGTTGCTACATTGGGTATTTGCTGGTATCTCATTTCTCTTGTCCCTAGTAGACTTGCCTACAAGTAGAGCTCAATTTTCACGAGCGCGAAGCGCAAGTGGTAGATTTTTAATGTTTTCTGCAGCAAAAGCGAACCAAAGAGCGAAACCTCGTCGTTCGCGCTAAGGCCAACTACCGGAACCGGAAATGAGAAGCGAAGGACTTTGAGAAAGTCTAGTCCCTAGTACCCCCTCCCCACCGTTCGTGCGCGCACGGAGAATAGGCGCTATTTCATTTCATCCAAAGAGCCCTGGGAACCCTGGGATACCCACATGTAGTGTCTGTCATCCATATTTCCTTCGTTCCTTTCCGTAACTTTTGTACTTTCTTATTTTTTGCGCAAACTTTAAACCTAGCTTTTAAAATGACGTCGATCACCAACGGAGGAACAGTTCCCATGCGAGACGCAGATGCAATTAAGTTGTTTATTGGGCAGGTCCCGAGAACTTGGGATGACAAAGATCTTAGACCATACTTCGAAAGCTATGGACAAATACACGAACTGACCATTTTACGAGACAGATTAACGCGGAACCATAAAGGTAACAATCTTGGTTGATCGTCGATTTTCGGTACTTTTTCGTAGTGTCTTATTTTTCTTGCTTTTTAGGCTGTGCGTTTCTTACGTTTTGTTCTCGCGAATCTGCGATTGCTGCACAAAAGGAATTACACGAAAAGAAAATATTGCCCGGGGTAAGATAATTAAATATGTTTACTTGCTGCTATGTGTATTAAACATTTAACGTTAACACTTTTGCTCGTGACATTGAATGTTATTGTTTTTGCGTTTATTCCGTGTTTGTAGATTGAAAGAAATTTCCTTCCAAAGTCAAACACAGGCTATTTTCTCTTCCCTCGTTGTCGGCAGCGAATATGAAGGAGCATGATATTTATTTTTTTAAAAGATTATATTTATTATTTTTTCATGTAGTGGGTAAAATATAACATAATAACAATTAATCTTCTTAGATACTCAATATAAACTAATTGATTAAGACCTTACGGCACTATTTATGTGGATAAGATGATGTCGTTGTTAGGAACACATCGACAAACTATATATGAAGATCAGAAGATGTCAAGTTCATGATATTTTCCGTTGTAGCTACAATGGTGTTGTGCGGAAAATATCAGATCATGCGATTTATTTTATGACAAAATAAGATGAAGCTTATTCAGCGTATTCCTCAGTCCCTAGTTTTCTGTGGTCAGTTTAATTGAGCATTATAATTTTAAATTAGACTGTAAAGGAAGGCTCCTACTCCCTGCTTATGTTAATGAAAATGCATTCTACACATCACAGTAGTCAAAGAATCAGAATTATTCGTGCATGGTTTGTGGCTCTATGGGAAGGGGGGCAAATACTCGAAAGGAATTTTTAAAAACTGTGCAATTTGAAGAGATAATTATATGTATTTTGCTTCAATTAGTACCTGTTAAAAATTTATATATCGTAGAGTTTTATTTACTTTATTATAACTGAAAACGGATGGTTATGCTTAATATTATTTCATCTCTTTGAAAAAGTACTCGTTCCACTGTTCATACTACATTGTACTTTTTTTCAGTGGATTAACTAGTTGCTACTTTGCAAGTAACCAACTATCCATTATCTTTTTAACTGACACATTCCATGTTGCCATGCATCTATTTTGTAAGTTTATTTGAACTACATCTACCCGATATGTACGGTGGCCCGTAGGGGACATTACAATTTTTTTTTTGCTGAAGTTATCGCGCGATAATTCAAACTTATCGCGCGATGAATTTGCAACATATCACATGATAAAGAGAAGCCTGACTCACGCTTTCCACCCTAGTGTTTATAGCCTTTAATTCTCAGAGTCTAGCTTTTACAAGTATATCTTTGAGAGACCTTCCTCATTTGTACGATATAATTGGAGGTTCTTTGTAGATCTGTCTAAGAAGAGGTTGGTTCTCTATCAGTTGCCATGTTTCATAAGAATGTTTTTAAGGCTAGCAACTCAAATTTCAAAGAACGCTTGATTGACAGAGGCTACCCACAAACTATGATAGAAAACCTTCTTTCGGGTACAAAGTTCATAGAGAGGGAGTCTGCACTCCTGAAACACAACAACAAAGAGGAAAAAGAAATATTGCCTTTTGTGACACAGTACCAGCCCGCAGTGTCTACTTTAAAAGAAGTTTTAATGAAAAAATGGAATCTTATACAAAACCAACCGTTGCTTCGCCAAATTTTTAAAGAACCACCTATCATTTCCAACAAGAAAGGAAAATCGCTGAAGGTCATGCTTGTTAGAGCTAAAATATAAAAGGTTAACACAAGGTTTCACGCGGGTATGGATGTGCGGCCTGTCACCGCTTGCATTTTCGCATGTTAACCCTTAATTATTGCGCATGCTAATCCGCCGGAGAACTCAGTCCCTTTCTGTAAATACATAACAAGAACATAACCTTTATTCACTTCACTTAACAAAAGGGACCACTGTTGGACAATGAAATACTTTAAACTTGAAGCTAAGAAGTAACCTGGCTTGATTCTCACTGTATAGTTTTGAAACGAGAGATACTTGATTACATATACATATATAGCAACTGTAAATCTTAATTACTCCCCTTTTCCTTCAGGATCAAAATGCTGTAATCCTTGCTTGGAAATCTAGCTTGGCAACTCAAATGAACTCTATTAAGCTGGCTTAAAAGTTAGACTCGTATAACTCCTTCTTAGTATGATAAAGAAAGGCTCAACATCAAGATAATGCATGCATACATGCATGCAACGTTCCAGCTTCTCTCAAGTTCATGTGATATGTTGCAATTTATTGCGCGATAAACTGACTAATTATCGTGCGATAATTCAAACTTATCGTGCGATAATTCAAAGTTATCGCGCGATAATTTAAACTTATCGCGCGATAAGTTGAAATTATTGCGCGATAACTTAAGCAAAAAAAAAAATATATTGTAATGTCCCTTACGGGCCACCGTAGATATGGCCCTCTGTTACACACAACAGTATTCATGCAGTATGAAAATAACCCAAGGAGGGCGGCTACTCCCCTATATAAGCCATATAGGTATGTGCCATCTTAAAGGGCAGAGTGTTTGGACCTTTTTGGTCTGAAAACGGGTATAGACTTTGCCCATTTTGGTCTGGAATCAGATATCGTTTTCAAGGGAACTACGGAAGCGGATGAATGTATTTATGGTTTCAATTCCAAATAAATAAGAACGAAATAGAAAATATATGGTATGCGAACTTGAAAAGCATTAGAAGAAGTTTTTTGTTTCCATTCTAATCTAAGTGATGATGACATGATTTCTGCCTGAAGGCCAGGTCTGAAAACGGGTATGGATTTTCGAGGTTTGTTCTGAAAATGGGTGTGGAAAATAACATTTTTTGGTCTGAGAAAGGGGCAGGATTTGGAGAACCGGGCAGCACACCCCCACCAAGGATTCCCAGGAGTACCCTCCCCCCCCCCCCCACCAAGGAAAATAATAATATAACTAATACTTCTTCTTTGTGTTTTTCCGTAGATGCAAAATGCCATGCAGGTCAAACCAGCAGAAAGCGAATCTAGATCTGGTAAGTGGGGCCTGCATAACATAGAATTGTTTGAAATGTTGCATTGTGCGTTGGGGGAGTGAGCGTTGTAGATTACAAACCAGAGTAGACAAAAGTATTCAAATGCAATATATTACGACGCTCCTTTTACAGTGAGTCCTAAATTATCTCAGCTTGGCAGTTATCTGGGCTTTATTCTCTGGTCCCTTTTTCATGAATATTAGTATAGGTAATAGCATGATTTGTACTGATATTTGGCATAAATACCACAAGTGATATTTTAAAATTGTTATACGTAATTTCACGAGCCATTAGGCGAATGAAATTTGAGACAATTTTGAAATATCACAGGTGGTATTTATGCCAAATATCACGTACAAATCATGCTATTATTTGTTTATACTACTACCCACAAAAGGTTTGTAATTTTCTCATGTAGGTATTTCAAATTAAGCTGAAATACCACTGCTCTTAGTAGTATAAACTCTTTGACCCTGTTGTCAAAATGTAATTTCCCATTTCCTGTTCTGATAGTGGGAAGAAAAATTTGTCAAAGTGTTTTAAAATAGAATTTGTCTTATGTTATTATCTCCTTAACTCTCACGACTTCCTTGATTTAGAAAGCAAGTGCATATTCTCTAAACTTTTTCCACGCTTTCTTTTTGCAGCTGCATAATTTGTGTTTTTAACTGTGTGGATCTTCTCTGTATTTCTTGCTGATATCATTGTTGATATTTCTCTTTCAGAGGACCGTAAACTGTTTATTGGAATGATATCTAAAAAAGCAACAGAGGATGATCTTAGAATGATGTTCTCCCCATACGGAACTATAGAAGAGCTGACAATTCTAAGAGATAGCGATGGCAAAAGTAAAGGTTTGTATTCTTTGTACTCAACTCACAAACAAACCTGTAACAAACAGGTTTTATAAATAATAAGGAATTATAATAGACCTTATTCACACCATCCAGCATCTTCGAAAGCGCTGTGTGGCTGTCAAGTTTGTTTATTGTCATAAAACAAGGTGACTATTTTCTAAAATATACAGTTTTGACAAGTTTTACCTCATTGTTACTTGCTGTGAGGACATGTACAGTTGCTATAGCTATTTAAAAAAACAAAAATGATTATTTCCACCCATAATTTTCCATTATCATCTTTAAGATAAAAGTTCTTCATTTTTCGTTGTCTAAATTAACAAACTCAACTGCGATTTCTTGTATTGGCTTTTTTTATCACTTGTTTGCCCCCTGAGAAACCACATGACATTGCTTTTATCCCATTGGTCCTTAAGCGCATGCAAAGATGCCAGGTCTCATGAATAAGGTGTGCAGTGAAAACACCTTTCTTCCAGTTTGAAGATCTGATTTCTTTACTGTTGAAACTGTGCAAAAAGCCACCTCTATGAACAGCTGCAAAATGTTGTCTGGCCAGAAGCCCATACAGTTTACTCTCCTCCACAGAACAGCCACTCCTTCGCAACAGTGATTATGGCTTAAAACAAGCCAGGGGGGTACTTGGGTTAATTTTTGCTGGGTATGTACCAGTGGCCTCTCAGTGCCCCTACCCAATTATAGTCTATTCTGTGGCCAGTTATAGACCCCATCTTAGTCACTTTTGGGCAAATATGTAATTTTTGCGATCCCAACTTAGTCACTTTCTATTTTTATGAATTGATCCATTTTTTAAATGGAATGAAGAACACTTTATTTTTCACCTACAGTACAAACATTCTGGTACATTTGCTAACCATAAATATGAAGAACTGTCGTACCCCAGAAAATCCGAAAATATGCGAACCCATCCTAGTAACTCAGCTATTGAAAATGCAACCCTGTTACAGTCAATCCAGTAGTGAAAATGCAACCCCATCTGGCGGCACATCCCCATTAGCCTCTTATAAGGAAGTATCCGCCCTGGGGAAACAACTCCCATCTGGTCTGGGACAAGTAGATTTTCTTGCTGGGCAAGTAACAGTTAAAGCTTCAGTGATTTTGTTACAAATAGTTTTGGTGAGTCCAGGGACCCATCTTGTGAAAAATCATGAGTCCCTTCCATAACCAGTGAGTCCTAAATTGAACCAGACGGTCCATCTGGAGACAGATGCCAAAACTCTTTATTACAGTTTACTGAAATTAAAATATAGTCCTTCTATATATTTTAAGTACAAAAAAGACTAAAACAAATATGCGTCTTTAAACACAGTCACATAAATCACAAGAACAGGATATTTTATTTAAATTCAATGGCAATTTTAAAATATGCAGCACTGAAGATGACAGATGTACCGTCAAAATGTCTGGTAAGTTAAAGAAACTTATGTTTATGCGGCTATGTTCTATTTGGATTTTCTACCAAAAAAATCTTCAAATCAATCAATCTTTCTTTGCTTCCTATGGAACGCATTTTATGAATATTATTATTTTGCTTCTTTGGAGATTTTTATGTATCAGGGATGCGGGACACAGAGGTAACAAAATCACTGAAGCTTACTTGCCCAATGGGCAAGGGAGGGTCCAGGCAAGTCATCCTCTGACCCTTTAAGCCCCAATATCCACTTACAAATTCTCCAAACGAATCTCTATAATTATATCTCCCTAAAGAATGAGTTGAGAGAATTTAATAAAAGATCAAAGCATTTTCTCTTAAGTGATCATTTTATTAATTCTCACAACCTAATCTCTTGACAATGTATGGATATGGTTGGGAGAAAATTTATGTTTGTCACTGTTGGGACTTAAAGGGCTAACAAAAACATCAAGTAAGGGGAATATGAAGTGGCCCCAGGTAATCAAAATATTAGAACTGCTTGCCCAAAGAACAAGCTGGAATTCAAGTTCTTTTTCAGCCCTGATTGATGGCCAGCATTTCATTACCCGAAACACAGAAAATGCACTTAATATATCCCCTTCACGACAGAAACATGAACTTGATAAAAATGTAAGTCCTTTTGCCGAGGCCCATGGCACTATTGAGATTTGAACTTTGTGATAAAATTACAGGGCAAAACCTTATCACCCTTTTGGTTCAATAATGAATAGGTGAATAATAGCAGATTTTATTCACAAGCATAATACACAGAGTATTGGAAGGAGAATTTAATTTTTTAGCTCTTTATCAGAAGTCACATGGGCTTTATTAATATCATGAGTAGAAGATTCATATAATCATTAGTTTATTAAGGGAGTATTACAGCCAATTCTCTACAAAGCAGCCACCTCTGTCGTCTTGGCTATGGCCAGAGGCTAGTGGAGGAAAAATTGTGAAATAGAGTGGGTGTAACTATAACTATGTTTTGTTTAGGTTGTGCATTTTTAAAATTTCCAACCAGAATGCAAGCTCAAAATGCCATTGCAGAGATGCATAACAGTACCACAATGGAGGTTTGTCATTAAATATCATTTGGTCTGTCAACACTCATGTAATGAGTATCTTCTCCCGAGTGTTTCCCATAATTTATAAAGACTAGAGGTACAATCATTGCTTGTGTTTGTTTCTTTGATAAATCTCGTGAATAAACTGTGAGGTAGCCTGCAAGCAAGCTCCCCGGGGCGTTCTGGCTGCGGGGCAGGAATTTTTAATTCCACCTCCAATTCCCCTGTGGCTCCCAATCTACTGAGCTGTCAGCTTTCTGCCAATCAGCGTGAAGCAGAAATGAGAGTGACTGTAGACAAGCATTGAAAAATACATGCCAAGGGTAATGACATCATTACTAATGTCATTTCTGACAATCAGCTCTTTGCATCGACTTTTTGATGCAGATTGTCGAATTCCAGGGACGTGGTTGCAAGCTCTCCTTCCTTTTCCCACCCCACCGCAAGAGGGTGCCCGAGAGCTTGCTCACAGGCTAGTGATGAGAGGCTCTGTAGGTGGTAGGAGACTGCCATTAACTGTCTCAATACCTGCTTTAGATATCTGTGCACTTACTTACCAAAACATTGTCCTCTTAATCAAAACTATAACAAAATTTTCTAATCTTATTGGCGATCATGGGAGCCTTACTACTGACTGCACAACAAATGTGTTCCCTAAATATAGGTTTTTTAAAGACAATAATATAACGGAGAGTGCAAAGCTTTCTAACACCTGTGTCTGCTTAAAATTTGGTGTGCTTAAATGACCCATTTTAAATGTCAAACTTGGCAGTTGCCAAATTTAATGCTAATGAGGAAGATCAGTCGTTTTCACTCATTTTAAAACGGACCTAAGAGCAACCAGCGATACATGTATCATTGATTTTTTATTGTCTTATAGTGATACTACTCAATCAAACATTAAGGTCATGAGAAAAAAGTAAACAATCAGCAAGAAGTGAATCAGGATTGTTCAACAAACTCTCCCAAACGGCACCATAAGAAATGTATAGACCACAATGGGAGAATAATTATGTATTCCGATATTGTGGATTTTAAATGTGTTAATGCAGGTTTCACTGTCCTCTCTTTGCAGGGATGTCCATCACCAATAGTTGTTAAGTTTGCAGATACAGAAAAAGAAAAACTTCAAAAGAAAATGCAACAGATGGTTACCCTAGGTGGCATGGGTATGAACATGCTAGGAATGGGCTTCCCTTACTTTCAGCACTCCAATTATAACACAGCTTGCCAACAGGTTAAAAATTTATTACATGTTATGTGTTGATATCAGTGAGATACCCCGTACCAAAATTAAGTATACTATAAGTATCTTTCTTTCAAGCGCCAGGTATACTGTAAATAAATTATATACAAAAAGTATGCTTTACATAGCTGCTAAAAGTAGAGTTTAAGTATACTTGTTTCCACTTGATATTGGAACACACAAAAGTCTACTTTGAGTTTACTTAAGGCTGGTTTTCCGTAGCAACGGAGTCAGAGTCGTAAGCGTAAGCGGAGTCGTAAGAACGTTTATAACCTTGTGAAAATCAAAAATAGGAGTCATAAGCATTACTTAAGATAAGATAACATTAAGATACTTATCCTATATTATTTGTAATTCATTTTCTATTATTGTGTGGCAAATAAAATAACTTAGCAAATTTTTAAACCTTGAACTTGACTGAAACAGTTGAGTTTCTCTTGCTCACATTTGATTATCGTCAGTTTCTTCAACAGCAAGCTAATTCACCTTCAACGTTACCTGGAAGCTTCAACATGATCCCTGGAATGACTGGTCCAGGTAAGCCTTTTACCTACACAATGAAGAAAGAAGAGGGAGGGTGGCACTAGTCTGCTTGTGACCAGAGTTCAGTGTTTGTGTAGAACATCTTGTTAGTTACCAGTTTTTGCTCGTGTAGAGTAGGTATCTTGTAGGTAAAAACCATTCTCGGCTTAGGCCAGAATTCCCTTTCTCTTATGAATAGAGAGCTCAACTAATGACAACAGCGATGGCAATGAGAACAAAAAAACAGAAATAGGTTTAGATTAGCAAAACAACAGCTTTGCACGTGCTACACGCTTTTTTTGTACATTCCTTTGAAAGGTAGCCTAGAGTCGTGTGTTTTGATAATTAACTGTAGATATGATATTCAAAATCAATTTTTATCTGTTTTCTAACGGAAGGCAAACTGTAATATGTAATCTGCCAATTTGCTTGTGAGAGTAAGACATTAGTTGTTGGTGTTATGTATACTGGGTTACTGAGATCAGTTTCACAGTTTAACTGAGATCAGTTAAGTTTCACATTTGTGAGTGAAGTTTACTTGGTTTGTGTTTCACCTCAACTAAACATATGTTTTACTTTTGGTCAGTTCATTTGAGAGAGTTGGCTCAACATTACTGCATCAACAAGTGCTCATTTAACTCAATTATGTTTATAAAGGTGTATGCCACTGGTTTATTAACCTTCTAAGCCCCAACATCCACATACAAATTCTCCAAACTGATTTCCATACTTTTACTTAAAGAACAAGTTGAGAGAATTTGAAAACAGATCAAAGCACTTTCCCTTTGGTGATCACTTTATTAATTCTCAAAACTCTTTCTCCTGATTATGTATTGGCATTGTTAGAAGAATATTGATGTTGATTACTCTTGTAAACACCAATGTTTTGTGTGTGTTTCAGTAGTAGCCCCTGGAACCATGGGTGCCTTGGTAGCTGCCTCAGTCTTAGCCGCTCAACAACAACAGCAACAGCATCAAGCCGTTCAACAGGCATCATCATCACAAAATAACATCATGGGTGGAACAGGTGCCTTGGTTAACAGCAGTGCTGTTTCCACCAGCGGTGCTACCAATACGTCTTCAATGATGGGAGTGCAGGGAGTCCCGGGCATGACAGGCATTGGTGAGTAGCCATTCCTGTGTTGTTGCCCAGAGGTACAGGGTGCCAAGGAAGTCAGTTTTACAGCTTTCCATTCGGACAAGCTGTAGCTAGCATGTACAGTACTAGCCTATGAGTCATTTTAATTAGCCGGAAAAAATTTTTTGATGAGCAGGACTGATCACAGTTCTTCTGTAATTTGAATTCCCGAAAAAAATTCACTTGCCCGTTGATCAAGTTGATAACGGAATTCTCTGGCCCAATAGCAAAATTCATTAGTCCCTGGCTATTGGACACGACTTTCTTTGCACACTAAGATACTGTCAAACATTTGCGTCATGGGGGCGAATGAGGTCTGACGTGTAATGTTTCTTTAGGTGGCAGCGACAGACAGTATGTTGCATTAGGCTGCCCAGGGTAGTGCATTTTCAACACCTCCCTTTACAATGTACATTAAAAACGCTCTACCCATACTAGCATTTTCACATTGTTGTTATTTGGGTCAAATGGCCTTATATTACTAGGCCATCTTTTCTTCCCTGGCTATTCTCAGGCGTCTTCCAAACTCTGCTCTATACCTGTCATTGTTAGGCTTAAAAGCTTTGTCATGCATGAGTGGCTATGGCATCAGCCCATCAGCATTTCCCAAAACCTTTGTTATGCTCAACGTCTTCTAGACAATAGACCTCCTCGTTTAGAAGTCTTCACATTTAGTACTGTCTTTTGTGAGCTTTTGGTTTAGTTTTCAAACAAAAACATACTCTTGTAAATGACTTTTATACTAAACTGTGACTTCACTCCTCAGGTATGAACATGTCTGGGATGGGAGTTGGTAACCTTAGCAATATGGGAACCAGTCCACTTGGAATGGGAATTCCTGGCCTTGGCAATGTGGCTGCTGTTACTAGTGTGGGCAACAACTTACAGACTGGAGATGCTCTTACTCAAGCTTACTCTGGAATACAACAGTACAATGGTAAGTATGATGTTTTTTGCAGCAGAATGGCGTGAAACCGGGGGAGGGGGGGTTTAGGTCGTGTCTGTTCTTTTGATTTCCAGTTTAGTGCCGTCAAAGTTGAATAAAGTTACATTCTTTCCATGTCATGCAGCTTGGTTGATAAAGTAAATTTTTCAAGGATTCAAAAGCTGACTTTTCAAGTTGCAGCCCTTTTGAGCTATTACATGTATCCTTCCACAGAAGGGCTGGTACTTTGAAGAAGGGATTGTGTTCTAACAAAGGGCTCGCACTCAAAACGTCTGCCACTTGGGCTACAACAATCAATACTTCTACAGCATTACTCCAGCTATGATATATTGATGCTTAGTTTGGTTACACTTTCAGCTACATTTCCTAATGTTTATGGTCCAGCAATATTCCAACAGCAACAACTACAACGACAGCCACAAAAGGAAGGTAAGATGTATAAAATCAAATCTTCCAAGGGATGGTTGTATTCTTGCCCTAAGCATCGCAACCAGTTGTCTGATTTTTCTGTGGCAGTCATCACAGACTCTTCTGGGATATGGGGCCTTCATATTGCAACTTTCCACATATGAGGGAAAGTTAACAAGACCTACCACAATGAACAACATAAACCAAGCAGTTTCATTTGCGACAAAACAAAAGGCTTGGAATCTAGACTACACAGCGTGCAAAGGAAGTAGTGTCCAATAGCCTGGGACTGGTGGATTTTGCTACCAGGCTAGTGAATTCTGTTTTTAACTTGCCCAACAGGCAAGTGGTGTTTTTTGAGGGATTCAAATAACAGAAGAACTGCTGAATCAATTCTGCTCGTCAAAAAAGCTTTTGGGGCTAGATGAAATGACGTCTGGGCTAGTAAATGCTAGCTTCAGCTTGCTTGAATGGAAAGCTGCAAAAGTTATTTTCTTTGCACCCTGCTACAGACAAAAGGCTACAAACAAAAGGCTTCGACCTAGCCATTATTGGCTATAAAATGTTGTAGAATTTAGTGAACAGAGAATAAGATTAGCTTCCATTTTCATTCTTAAATTTAAATATGCCAAGACTCCAGTATAACAAAAAAAAAACATCAACAGATCTTTTCACCATTTTCTAATCAATCAATGTTTTTGTTTCTTGTCAGGTCCTGAGGGAGCCAATTTATTTATTTATCACTTACCACCAGAATTTACTGATGCCGATCTCATGCAGACATTCTTGCCATTTGGCGCAATAGTAAGCGCTAAAGTGTTTATAGACAAAGCTACAAATTTAAGCAAATGTTTTGGTAAGTGATAATCAATAGAGTTAGTAGCACTGTAGTTTTGTCACAGTGTCCTAGAATTTAGAAAAGTAAAAGCATGTAAACCATATGCATAACAACTTTGGACATAAAATGGCAAGCAGGTTTTATATTTTTAAGTACCTACAAGGAGCAAACACAGAACTGAGACCTGTTCATGTTGTGGAAGAAGTAAAAAAGTCATATACTCAAGGCTCTTTTTTGCACTGAATGGAGTCCTTGAAAAATGGGAAATGTGTCCTTGAAAGTCCTTGAAATATCTTCGAATTTTTTGTTCAAAAAAGGGTATGAACCCTGTGCCCAGTTCAAAGGGGCTGGAGGTGTACTCCCACTTCTCTGTGAACTGGATTCTAGCCTATCACAGAGTTAAACACCCAGCATAACACGCAACTCCTGTTACGTTCTTGTCTATTTAACTCTTTCATTGCCAAAGGTGGCTAAAGTTTCATTTTCTGAAATGCTGGAAAACAAATGGTACCATGTGAAAGTACTGCCCCGGAGGTTTCATTTCAATGGTCACACCACAGGATTTTGTGCACGGACTCAAAAGTTAGAACAACTTTATCAGACTCCATTACTGCCTCTGGCAGTGCTGAAAGACAGTTTCAAGCATTGCTTTGGTGCAAGCAAGACTTCAACCATGGATGTGACAAACTGAATCTGTAGAGGGTGTATTGCGCTATTTGCCATGCCTCATATGGTGTTCTGCGTTTGGATATTTGCTTGACAGGCAATTTAACCATTGTGGTGTCTTTAAATTTCATAGGTTTTGTAAGTTATGAGAATCCAGGTTCAGCTCAAGGTGCTATTCAGGCTATGCATGGATTTCAGATTGGCACCAAGAGACTCAAGGTACAACTCAAGAGGCCCAAGGATGCAAACAGACCCTACTGACTTTTGTGCATGACAGGTAAAGGGTTTGACTATTAATTTTTATAATTATAACTGTTGCCTTCATCATCATCATCATCCCCACCACCACTACCACCACAGTCTCAAAAGTTAGAACAACTTTATCATCATAAACATCATCATCGTCATTATCATCATCGATCATCGTAATCATCATCATCATTATTAGTTATCAGTATTTTAGTTAACATTTAACAAAGCAATTGATCCAGTTACTGGCAAAGAAGTGGTGGAATGGCCTCAAGTCCATCTCTTGTTTTCTCCAAGAAAAGTAAAAACAATTTTCGTAAATTTCCTCATACAGAGAAATATTGACAGCAGAGTCAACTTATCAGGTGGCATGTAACCTTTCAACTTTTTTATGGGCTATTTCACACTTATTTATTTTTTATTAAAAGAATAGAAGCCTCCTCACATCAGCTCACCTTTGGACAAGGGGAGTATGGCCGGCTACAATTTTTTTGTGGCCAATATTTGCCCACGAAAACCAACGCAAAATTCAATCAGCCCATTTTATTTTCCTGTTTTTGCTCTCTTGACAAGTTAACTGATAACTTAATCTGTTCTTTTTTTCAGTTTCAATCTATTAGGGCCACCCAACGACTTTTTTTCTGTTCGAATGAGCAAATATTGCCTAGAGGTTTCTAGAGTTGAACACGGCTAAAAATGTCTGGATAACCGTTTAAAATACTCGGAGTATTTCTACTAGCTTACCTACCATTTTCGGAGGTTGTGTTTTCACATTTTATTACCAGGATATTGCGATTATTTTAAAAAACGTTCTCCAGAAAATTTCGGTTTAAAAACAAAAGGTACCGTGGAATTTTCTAATGAAATTACGGATACCCCATTTCCTCGAACTTTCCATCGGACCCATAAGGGTAGCTAACAGTTTCGAATGAAAAGAAAAAGCCTCCTAAAACTTTGAGACGACAACCGAACAGATAAATAGGTTTGAGGGCAGCTCCAAATTACCCAAACAGGCTTCTAAAGCTCAGAGAAAACCTTAACGTATTTGGATACATTAGTTCTTTGGGTGCCCTGAAGAATGACCGTGACCAATAATTAATTTCTCCTGATAGTTACACTGCTCAATAAAAAGAAAAGTAATAAGAAAGCAGGAAGTGATTTTAAAAAATCTTGATCGTAAAACAAATTCTCCTAATCATTACTATGGAAATGTATGAGAGTATGAGAATATGGATGCTGACAATACGAATAGTACAGGCTGAGAAACAGCCGACATTTCACAGCGCCACCATTAGTTTCGCGGCAAAATGACGTATGAGAAACGAGCGCCGAAATTCCACACTGATGACACGGTACGACCAATCAGAAGCAGCACCCTGATCTTGGTAGTGACGCGTCATCAGTGTGGAATTCGTGCGCTCGTTTATGAGATGTCATTTTGCGGGGAGAGCAGTGATGGCATCGCGAAATGTGGGCTGTTTTCTGAGGCTAGGAATAGGGTGGTAGGATGCCAGCCCTATGATTTACATCTTTTGATGTTCCTTCTTTTATTTACAAAATTATCAAGAGGCATTAACCAAAATCAAAATTTAATTACCTGAAATTTAATGCTACTTTGAGTTTGGACAGCAGATTGTTTGACTGAGCACCAAAAACACAACATAAAAAGCGCAAGAGTAAAAATCGCTTTCTTAATTTGATGACCTCTTATTGAGAAACTGTCCAAAGGCAAAGAGCTGGTCCTTGCCATTCGCAGAATCCCCGCTTCTTCATTGCGGAGGCGTGTGTTGCCGAGCGGTTAACGCCTCGAACCCCGGATCTTGAGATCCGGGGTTCAAGCCTCGCCCGTCTCGTTGTTTCCTTAGACAAGGAACTTTATTCCACTCTATCTCTCCTCACCCAGGTGTATAAATGGGTACCGGCGAGATAATGCCGGGGGGGGACCCTGCGATGGATTAGCATCCCGTCCAGGGGTCAGTAGCTTTACCTCTAGGCATCCTTCATGCTAAGGAAACCGAGTTAAGACCTGGCCGTTTGGGCCTTCGGCTCGTGTGTTTTTTTCTTCATTACGCAATGCAATTCGCATGGCTTCCAGTTGTGTGCGAGAAGCAGATGGATTTAAATGTAATATATCTGAATAACTTAAATTTTATGTGGTAAATGTGTGCTATTGCTTTCTGTTAGTTAAGGCTTTTAACTATCTCCCTTGTCTCTGTCTCGCCTAGATCACGTGACTGTGTAACATTTGTTCTTCGTGGTGGCGGTGACCTGTTTGCGCATGTGCTTTATGTGTGTACCACAGTTGGTGACGTCACTTGTGAAGTAGTTCGTCACTGTTGGTGTTGGGATTCCGTATTACGTCACTGTAAAGCAGTATTGCGTTATTGTTAAATACGTCATTATATATCGGTGCATGTTTAGCGGGTGATTGTTAGCAAGCTGTAATCGAAGTGTTTATTCGTCTCGTGACCAGTTTTTTTCATGTCAGGCCAGCTCACTGTTTACTATTTATAGAACGTAGTTCATGTTAGTGTTAGCGTCTAAGTATAGGAACTACTGTGTTAACGGTTGTCGTGGTGGTTTTGTAAAAACCGTTTATTGTAAGTGGTTTGTAGACTGTCGCAGTGAGGTGAGTGCTGCCCTGACTTTTACTTAATAAAACACTTTCATATCGAAGCCCTGTGTTGCTTGTTATCTCGCTGTACGCTTAGAGACGTAAGGGTTCATCTAAAGGACATGTTCAAGGGATACTTGCGTTGCAGAGACAAGTCTCTGATCAGGTTGGGAGACATGAGGGGTCATGTTGCGGGAACTAGTCCCAAGGATAAATATGACGCAGAGACAAGTCTCTGATCATGTTGGAAGACATGAGGGGTCATGTTGCGGAAACAAGTCCCAGGGATTAATATGACGCAGAGACAAGTCCCTGATCAGGTTGGGAGACATGAGGGGTCATGTTGCGGGAACTAGTCCCTAGGATAAACATGACGCAGAGACAAGTCTCTGATTAGGTTGGGAGACATGAGGGGTCATGTTGCGGGAACTAGTCCCAGGGATTAATATGACGCAGAGACAAGTCTCCCATCATGTTCGGAGACATGAGGGGTCATGTTGCGGGAACAAGTCCCAGGGATAAATATGACGCAGAGACAAGTCTCTGATCAGGTTGGGAGACATGAGGGGTCATGTTGCGGGAACTAATCCCAAGGATAAATATGACGCAGAGACAAGTCTCTGATCATGTTGGGAGACATGAGGGGTCATGTTGCGGGAACAAGTCCCAGGGATAAATATGAGGCAGAGACAAGTCTCTGATCAGGTTGGGAGACATGAGGGGTCATGTTGCGGGAACTAGTCCCAAGGATAAATATGACGCAGAGACAAGTCTCTGATCATGTTGGGAGACATGGGGGATCATGTTGCGGGAACAAGTCCCAGGGGTAAATATGAGGCAGAGACAAGTCTCTGATCAGGTTGGGAGACATGAGGGGTCATGTTGCGGGAACTAGTCCCAAGGATAAATATGACGCAGAGACAAGTCTCTGATCATGTTGGGAGACATGGGGGATCATGTTGCGGGAACAAGTCCCAGGGATAAATATGACGCAGAGACAAGTCTCTGATCAGGTTGGGAGACATGAGGGGTCATGTTGCGGGAACAAGTCCCAGGGATTAATATGGGGCAGAGACAAGTCTCTGATCAGGGTGGGAGACATGAGGGGTCATGTTGCGGGAACTAGTCCCAAGGATAAATATGACGCAGAGACAAGTCTCTGATCATGTTGGGAGACATGAGGGGTCATGTTGCGGGAACTAGTCCCAGGGATAAATATGACGCAGAGACAAGTCTCTGATCAGGGTGGGAGACATGAGGGGTCATGTTGCGGGAACAAGTCCCAGGGATAAATATGACGCAGAGACAAGTCTCTGATCAGGTTGGGAGACATGAGGGGTCATGTTGCGGGAACTAATCCCAAGGATAAATATGACGCAGAGACAAGTCTCTGATCATGTTGGGAGACATGAGGGGTCATGTTGCGGGAACAAGTCCCAGGGATAAATATGAGGCAGAGACAAGTCTCTGATCAGGTTGGGAGACATGAGGGGTCATGTTGCGGGAACTAGTCCCAAGGATAAATATGACGCAGAGACAAGTCTCTGATCATGTTGGGAGACATGGGGGATCATGTTGCGGGAACAAGTCCCAGGGGTAAATATGACGCAGAGACAAGTCTCTGATCAGGTTGGGAGACATGAGGGGTCATGTTGCGGGAACTAGTCCCAAGGATAAATATGACGCAGAGACAAGTCTCTGATCATGTTGGGAGACATGGGGGATCATGTTGCGGGAACAAGTCCCAGGGATAAATATGACGCAGAGACAAGTCTCTGATCAGGTTGGGAGACATGAGGGGTCATGTTGCGGGAACAAGTCCCAGGGATTAATATGGGGCAGAGACAAGTCTCTGATCAGGGTGGGAGACATGAGGGGTCATGTTGCGGGAACTAGTCCCAGGGATAAATATGACGCAGAGACAAGTCTCTGATCATGTTGGGAGACATGAGGGGTCATGTTGCGGGAACTAGTCCCAGGGATAAATATGACGCCGAGACAAGTCTCTGATCAGGGTGGGAGACATGAGGGGTCATGTTGCGGTAACTAGTCCCAGGGATAAATATGACGCAGAGACAAGTCTCTGATCATGTTGGGAGACATGAGGGATCATGTTGCGGGAACTAGTCCCAGGGATTAATATGACGCAGAGACAAGTCTCTGATCATATTGGGAGACATAAGGGGTCATGTTGCGGGAACAAGTCCCAGGGATAAATATGACGCAGAGACAAGTCTCTGATCATGTTAGGAGACATGAGGGATCATGTTGCGGGAACAAGTCCCAGGGATACATATGACGCAGAGACAAGTCTCTGATCATGTTGGGAGACATGAGGGGCCACGTTGCGGGAGCAAGTCCTAGGGATTAATATGACGCAGAGACAAGTCTCTGATCAGGTTGGGAGACATGAGGGGTTATGCTGCGGGAACTAGTCCCAAGGATAAATATGACGCAGAGACAAGTCTCTGATCATGTTGGGAGACATGAGGGATCATGTTGCGGGAACAAGTCCCAGGGATACATATGACGCAGAGACAAGTCTCTGATCATGTTGGGAGACATGAGGGGTCACGTTGCGGGAGCAAGTCCTAGGGATTAATATGACGCAGAGACAAGTCTCTGATCAGGTTGGGAGACAATAGTACACATGGCAGGTCATGATGCGGGTAAAAATCCCAGTTTTACTTAATATACAGCGATAAGTCTCGAATAAGCAAAAGAAAAAGACCATCGCCGTGGTGATCATGTTATAGTCGGTGACGTAGACTATTGTTTATGCTTCTTCCTAAACTGGCATACTCCCCGAGCTGTACTGAAAAGGGTGTAACAAGGAGAGAGTCTAGGTAAGGTCGGAGTTCCATAAACACATTAATTTTGTTTGGTCTTAACTTTAAGCATAGCTTGACATGCCAATATCTTCCAGAGAAAAAAGAAACAAAAATATGATTTCAAATGAAATGATGAATAAAGAAAGAATATTTCCATACTTACAGCGATACTTTTCCCTTGGTATTTCAAATTGTGAACATCAAACTACGTGCAAATGGACGTATCATTTTTGACCAACAACTTCCAACCTTGTTTGGTGTTACATGTTGGGTCCGACTGCAAACCTTGTTGCATGTTGTTGCGCAAAGTTTGAAACCGGTCAAATTTTTAGCCCCGTGCAAACGGACGCAACATTGTCGACCAACAATTCCCAGCGTTGTTGGCGGAACAACATGCAACAGGGTGCGCAATCGGACGCAACATGTAACATCCAACGATGTTTGGAGTTGTTGGCGAACAATGTTTCGTCCGTTTTCACGGGGCTTTAGAGGATTGTGATTTGAGTTCAACTCTTCCTCCTACCATTGTTAAGGAGAGTGGAAGCGTGGTGTGCGACTGTGTAGCTCTTACAGTATCTGGACTTTTTTTAACTCATGCGTGATGAGAACTCCGGCCGTAGATAAAAGAAGTAGGATATTCTACTTAGAGGATTCAAAATCGTGTTAGTAATAGTCGTAAAATTTGTGTTTATTTGAGCAGCTTTATCAAACACTCAACGCAGTGTTTCATCCGATATCCAGACCAACTGTTACATTCACCAGATTTAAACGTGAGCCACCATTACATTTATATGTCATTACGCCCATGTCGTAGATTGATTCTATTCCTAGCAGTATGCAACAAAATATTTGTTACATGAACCTGGCAGTGCAGTTGTACAGTTTTGAGTCCAGGGTAAAGCCGGATGGGAAGCCAAACCCCACCCTTACTGCACCCATCACACCAGACGTCTTTAGTAATTGAACGACTAAATGATTTGAGACTAAAATTTATACCACAAAAGGATCGCAAAGAATATACACAGCTAAATTGTACTAAATAATAACATGTATAGGCCAAGAAGAGTGGAAACGATCAGCTGTGAAATAGCCGTTTAATGGTGAGCACAAGTTTGAACTCCTTCATGAATAAATTTTCGCATCTGCCCTTTGCATTGACTAGTGAACAGAGGGTCAAAAGTTTGACTACTGTTCAGAAATTTTGGATTGATTAGTCTATTTTTCCGTACTAGGAGGCAAATAATATGGACGTCAACCCAAAGTAAGGCCTTCTCTCTTTTTATATGCCTTGACGCTGACAAATTTGTATTGCTATACAGTCGACTCCCGGTAACTCGAACCTTCAAGGGAAATCAAAAACGTTCGAGTTATGGGGAGTTCGAGCTATCGGTAGCTCGAAGGAAATAGCCGAGAGTAAAGAAAAAAATAGTTTTTACTGCACAATGAACATTTTAATCACTGTTAATTGTAGAAATGTTAAGTGAAAATTGAAAGATACTTCTAGATTACAAATCAGAACGTAACGTAACAAAATATTGCCTACTGAATAGAGAATGCGTTTTACTGTTTTGAGAAGTAAAACTGTTTCACGTAAGATTTGTGACGAAAAACATCAACCTCTACTAGTAAACTATATGCCTACAACACCTCAATGGGAAACGCAAAATTCGATGTTTCGGACGCCAGTAGACTGTTTTTTTCCCCTACTTTTTGAGGGCTCAAAACATGGTTCGAGTTACCGCTTAGGGTGCTTAAACCTAAAATGACTGCTGCCAGAGTTGTCTAGGTAAGATTTATGACAATGCTTTCAAAAAGTCTTTGAGAAGAAAGTGTTCGAAAGTTTATTGCTATTAAAATTTGCAGTGGCAGTTATGTGATTTGTTGTTGTTGAACTGGTACTTCTTAGGGGTGGAAATGAATTTGGGACACGCCCATAAAACAAGATTCTGGTACCTTTTAGGGGTGTTCTCGAAATTTTCCAACGAGTACCCCTGTCACTTTTATAGGGGGGTAACCCCTTCCCGGGCCTTCAATATGAGAAACAAAAATTGTTTCGGGTAGCCGAGCTATCATGAGCCAACGTTTAATACATTTTCTTAGAAACAAAAAGTTGTTTCGGTTAGAAAGGTAACCCGCCTAGCCGCGCCGGGTCACACTTTTGTTTTGGTAGGGTCACCCTCCTACCTTTCCCCATATAAACTCTTTGGCTCGCCCAGCCGGGTCAACTCGGTCAAGGCGACACGATCAGAGCATGCGCGAGGGTTGTTGGCTCGGGCAAAAGGGTCAACCTTTTTCTCATGTAAACGCGCCCTAAAGTTGACCCGGCATGGAGGGTGACCCTTCCCCGGAGGCTCCGGAGGGACTCCCATATAAAAGTGACGGGGATGCTAATTAAACCCCTAAGGAAGAACAATGTGGGTGTGGCTCAAGCTTAAACTGACTGCTAAAGGAAACCATACACAGACATCTAAATCAATGCCGAGGATGTTGTGTTCTTTTTCAAAAGTTAGATTTCTTTGAAGTCAGTGTCCCGGCACTTTTTGTAAAGTTCTTTATGCATAGCCCTATGCGATACCTGAATGGGCACTGAAATATGGTGATTTCCGTCCCAAAGACACTAAGTGAGACCAAAATCTGCAATTTACACCCCTAAGTGAGACGACGAGCATCCCCCCGGATCCTTCTACAGGGGACAAGTTTTCTCCATATGAACGGTGCCTAAGCGCTAGTCACAGGTATTAGAACACTTCCCTCGTGGGACCTACAGCCGCGTATCAAACTGTTCGAGCTCTATATGTTCTTGCTGGATTCCTTGATCCTTTCTATTGGTTAACAGACACTTGAGAGAGTCCCGAAATCTTGCGAGCCTCCAGGAATAGAGAAAAGGATTCAGCCCAGAATTTATGTAAACGAACACTGATGAAACCCAGAGTCCCTTTAAAATGGCGGAATCCGGTCTTAACTGATATAACACAAAGAAATACATGATTGACTGAATTATAAACCACGGAGTGAAGCACAGCAAGAATATGCAAACTATCAAGGCAATAGATTTAAAGAGCTGCCTGTCCCGGTGTAAGGGATGATGGATCGAAAGGGAACCTCTCGCAGCAGCGTCTCTGGTGGAATGACTTTGAAAGTGACGCATAATTACAACATTTATAGAAATGATAACAGTGGCTGATACAAGAACCTGAGCTGTGTAAATTATGCAAAATATGATGAAGTGTTCTGTAAGTGTTGCGTGTAAAACTCCCAAAGCCAGCGCGTAAGCCCAAATTGTGAGAGCCGTGATGGAGACGAGCCTATTAGTGACTCTAACACGATATTGAAGCGGTGTAAGCAATGCGAATAGTCTGTCAATTGTCAGTAATAATACATGGCCAATGGACACGCTGGTAAGTACGGCATTTATCGTGAGTGGCACGCGTATGGAGAAAGACGGTTTATCTCCTGCTCTGATCAACAGCGACCAATCAGAATTTAAAGGGCACAAGATAGCACCAACTAAAAAGTCTGCAACGGCCATTGACAACAATATATAGGTAGAGGTGAACGAGCGAAGATTCCTCAGAGGGTCTTTCCAAACAACGAGAATAATCAATGCGTTTCCTGAAACGATAAGAGGAGAAAGAATGGCCATGATAACTCCGATGATGAGAGCAAACATTCGCTTGGTTTCCATAAAATTCGATATGAGTTGATTGGTGTTGAGACCGTCTGCGATACTGATGTTGGTTTCCATGGAATTGAAGATCAGTCAAGACGGTGTGAACTTCTTGAGAAACTATTGTCATGGACTTTCATTCCCATTCAGTCGACAATTGGTCGGGTTTATTGCAGAGCACCTCCTTCAGGCTCAACTACCAAAGTGGATAACCATGGAAAATGGTTTGTAGAACTGAGAGGAAAAACGTATTTGCGTTGAACACACCTCTGTGAAAAAATAGGCAGTCTTTATCAGAAAACCAGTCGAAGGTTTAGTGAAATAACTTGAGACAACGTGCTCTCAGCTTGAAGAATCAGATACTTAAATAACAGTCGTCACTATTGTCAACCAGTTTTATCGCAGATATATGCAAATGCCTTAACAAGAACAAAACACAAATTACATAAGATAAACAAATCTCGATCAGGGCCAAAATAACTTATTTTTGGCAATGATGTTTTTGCGTTTCTTCCTGAACGGTAAGACGATAGTAAGCAATCAGAGTTGCAATTATTGTTGTTTTAATGAATTGGCAACATGTGCATATACTTGTAACAAACTTTGAATGAAGGGAACCTCATAACGGGAAATAACATTCAGTCGTTTGCTCACCTTGCGAGAACTGTTTTATTGAGAGGATGGTGCCATACATCGCTTAAAAGGGTAAATAATGGTAATAGGAATGAGTGGAGTCCAATTCGGTCTGTAATCATACGAGTGATTAAAAAAATCGGATGACGGCGTAGCGAGAGTCCGATGTTTTAATTACGAAAGTTACCAATTAATCATAACTATAACAAAATTTGTGATATTTTAGGCTTTTTAAATTAAAACACAAGAAATTTCGAGAGTTTCTGTTAGCAGTGAAAAGAGCCCTTTAAGTGCGCGCTGCGATGGCGCGTACTGTCCTTGCTGAAATCAGGACAGTTGATAGCCAATCAGATTTGAGAATTTTGCTATAGTTATGATAAATAAAATGACATTTGCTTATACACTTGTTACTGATACTAATTTTCAAAATCAGGCCCTGGTTATTTAAAAAGTGGATAACGCTATCCAGTGCCGATAAATCTCTATCCACTGGATAGCGTAATTGGTTTCCCTGACACTTATCCCGTGTAAACTGATTTATCCAAAGGATACCTCTTTACGACGTTACCTTAAAAAACCTGGCATTGTACAGTTACACAGAATTACCATGAGTGCGTTTAAAATTTTTATTTTAACTACTGTGATCGACGGTATATCTTATTAACTCACCTGTAAGAGTTACTAATTCATTCCCACCTGTGTAAATAATGAGGCAAGTATCGAGTTTTACTCCAAATCCTGGTGTTTTTTTTTTCATTATATATTATCCCCGCTCTCTGTTCTACAGTATTTAATCAGCTTTTTTCAATTGTTTTATCTTCGCATCTGCTTTTGTGATTGGCTGTTCGGCGTGTTTAAGAAAAACTGCCCACCTTTTTAATGCTAACAAGGTATTCTGATTTCACATCGTTCACGTCCTATAACTTAAAATGAAAATGGTCATTCTTCCTTGGTAGCCTGTTCCAGGCGCTCTAGTCACGGATACAGTCAAACCTGTATTAAGTGGTCACCCTTGAGGAATAGCTTACTGAAGGCTTAGTACAGGTTGACCATGTAATACAGGTTTGACAAACGTGAGAGTTATTCAAGAAAATGAAGATGATGAAAAAACGAAATATCTGTGCTATGACAAATTGACCTCAAACTGTTTCTACCTCTTCTTGTGCCAAAAGAAAGGAAGTAAAAGACCCCTAAAAGTGTTACACAATGTATCTGTTGCACTCCGAGCATAGTACATCTTGTCAGAGTGACCGTTTGATGGAGGTGAAGACAACAAAAAATAAGGGATCAATCTAGGTTTCTTGGAAACTGCCCAGCTACCCCTCCCCTAAGTTAACATTAACAGTTAGGGACATTGGGACAATGACGTCATTGGGACCTCGGAACAATGAGGTGACCGCTTAGTGCAGGTCAGTTTTATAGGTACGGAAAACAATTTTCGGGACTTTGTTGAGTGACCGCTTAATAGAGGTCCACTTAATACAGGTTTGAACGTAGTGAGTACGGCGCAAAGAGAGCTCAGCAGGAAAAAAGTTGATATGGTGGGGGTAGGGAGAGAGGAGGAGGAGTTCTCCTTTCTCGCTCTCTTTCTCTTCCGGATTTTGTTTTCCTCTCCGCTCTTGATTTTGCGCTACCCTCTACTATCTAAAGGCCTGGAACAGGCTTTTGCTGGGGCCACTCGGCACGTTAACAATGCCTGTTCTACGAATTTTACAAAGGAGTCTCAGACTGAGGGGGTAGGGGCGGGGAGCTTTCCTTGTTATGTGCCAGTTCATTACACCGGAGAGGGAGAACAAGGACACAACATCGAAAAGACTGAGAACGTCCCCCACCAATGTGGCCTGGGCGCAAATCCGGGCGTCAACGCAATAGACCTACTTCACGATACCCGCCATCTTTGCACGCGCTTAAGGACTGATGGGATAAAAGCGGTATCACGTGGTTTCTCAGGGGGCAAGCAAGTGATAAAATTTGCCAATGCAAGAAATCACGGTCGAGTTCGTTTATTCTAAATAACAGAACATGAAGAACTTTTTATCTTTAAGACGATTATGGCAACTTATGGGTGAAAATCAGCCCACCCCCCCCGGGTGAAAATGATCATTGTTACTTTTCTAGAAGCAGTAGCGACCGTAAGATGTCCTCAGAGCAGGTAATAATGTCGCAAACTTGTCGAAACTTGAACTGTACATTTTGCATGACTATGAAATTGTCCTCTCGTTTTGAGAGAATAAAGAAACTCGACCGCGATTTCTTGCATTGGCAAATTTTATTCATTGTTTAAAAAGACAGGGAATACTGTACAACTGTAGGAGTGTTTTAATTAATTTTTTTTACACTCGAACTCGTTTCTTGGAGACGTTTAGACTTATAATACAGTTTTTAGTTCGGCCAAATAATAGTGTAAGCCCTGCAGTTCTACCCTAGCTAGATACCTATTCGACAGTTATTTTTATTTTATTTTATTCTATTTTTTTTCATTTTCGTCATGAATTCGTAATTAGATTTATTCAAATAATACTATGATCAAAAGTCGCTCAGCATTACATTTAATTTTAATGTGAAGCTCAGGTAAAAACAGCAAAACTGTTTGTAACTGTCTGGTTACTAGTTGACGTGATAGCCTCATCTTTGAACAAATATCACAACTTCGTGTTGTATGTTTGCCTTTCTTCGGAGATCTGAAGTGTTGGTCTTCTTCCTAGCATTTTTTGAATACAACATTTGGATAGAAAAAATTTGAAGGTGGCTTTAAATTTGGAAAATCTAAAAGCGTATATTAAAGGATTTAGAGCTGAATTTATAGACAAAAGAAGCGTTGTAACATGATAAAAGATAACCCACAGTTGATAATTTTCATGACAAGGCTGGCAGAAAAAAAATAACAACTGAGTAGTAATCCATGGAGTATAACAAAAATCTAGTGCAATAATGATTGAAAAAATAACGACGAAAACCTTTGTCTCTCTTTTTCGAAGTAAAACCTGGTTTGTCTGAGAGTTTTCATCCATGATTCTGTTCTTGTGATGTTTATAAAGATGCCTTAAAGTTATAAAGTACAAACAACAAGTAAACTCGCAAGAAAGCAAAATGTCCAGTACGTACATGAACCAAAGTACAAAAAAATGTTCTTGTACTATCCACGAGAAAGAGGCGAAGCAAAAGCCAAAGATCCATATCGCAAATGTGCAAACTGCCACTCGTCTTTTTGTAACTATTGCTCTATACTTTAAAGGTCTTGCCAAGGCGAAAAACCTGTCCACGGTTAACAGTAAGGTGTGATAAACGGACGCACTTAACTGGAAAAAATGGCAAAATAAGAGAATTTGGAAGAGGAAATTCCACGGATCTGCATTCATTGCTAAGCGAGTATAGAACAAGGAGGCGGCAGGAGCCAGCACGAGTCCTACTAAAAAGTCAGCAAGTGCCAACGTTAGAATTATGAAGTTTGAAGGAGAAGATCGTAGTGTTTTCAATGGATCCTTCCATACAGCTGCGACAACAAGGGCGTTCCCTAATAAAGAGGTTATTGAAACAAGCAAATAAGCAATGCTAAAAAATATTGCTTGACCAGTTGATGCTCCTGTTATAGCTTTTCTAACCGCCTCTATAGCAATGTTTGCCGGTATTTTCCAGTAATTCATATGACCAAACAATGTCGCCATGTCCACCGACAAAAATGTTGCCTTTTTTTCGGGTCTACGACAACTGGTCCAACCTTTTGAAGGTAATGAACTTTATCACTATATTAATATAGAGCACATAATATAAAAGCATATACCGTCAATATTTATCTATTAAAATCAGATCTCTTTGTGATTCATGACAGCTTGATTAAAAACTGATTAGCAGAATTCATTGTGCAGTCGATCTTTGTAGTTGTGTACAGTCTAAAATACAAACGTACACCCCGTGTACTTCATCTAAATGCAAATTTTCATGAATTTTGCACAGGAACAAGATCGCAACCACTGTGCCCTAATGCTCAAGACAGGCGGTTCAAGAAAAACTGCTATGAATCCGAAGATACTGAATTCAATAAACGTGTGTAAGGTCTATATATATATACCAATGTTAAGTTTTCAGAACTGACAGAAACCTATCGACCGAACAGTCTATGAGCGGGTGGAAGTTTTCTGTTGTATAATTGACGGGACTTTTAAGTGCAAGATTCACGTAATATTTTAATCATAAACATTCATGAAAAACTTAAATTGTTTGCAGTAACCATTTTATGACTTCTTCGTGGAAGACGAGATGACAAAATCCTTAAAGAGTCTACATTTATTGTCTGTAGTGCCAAAATAGTATAACGATCGCGCGAGATTTCAATCAGTATATATTTTTTTTTTTTGCGTGATTCTAGCGGGTAGTCGTGTGCTTAA